GGACTGAAAACCAGTATTGCTCCAAGACATTTACTGCTCCATGAAAGTAGTTTGTATAAAATTGCCACACATCCTGTATATAATGTAAACAATGCAAAATAGTAAATGTTATCTTAAAAATGTTACCTTCACAGTACATCCTACCTTGTGTTGCGACAAGCTTAACTACAAAACTAAAACCACCAGTCTTGTTTGGTGGTGGGATCAATCAGTGCTGAGTACAGCTTCTGTCCCATTATACCAATTATGGAGTGCTGTAGCTCAGTGGTTAGAGCACTCGCCTTGGAAGAGAGACACATACGTTCAATCCCAGGCAGGGCGAAACCTTGGGCAAGTTTCCTTATTCCACACGCCTAATAATAATCCCTTCAAAACAAAAATAAGTTGGTCATTTTCAATCCACAACTGTTTGTGGGACATTGCTGTGCGCAATTGGCTACCGCATTTCGCCCACAGATAGGTTAATTCACTTTACAGTATATTCTGTAAAGCACTTTGAGACGGCTAGAAGACGTGAAAAGTGCTATTTCAAATGCAAGGATTATTATTATTATTAAATACTTTGTATTTATAAGATTACATTGATTTCAAAATGTTGGTATTAAAATGAAGCATTTACAGGTATTTTTACATACTTTAAAACACCAACTAAATTATTACCTGCTGGCTTCAAGTCTAACAATGTAACATACTGCATAATATGTTTTATTTCATGTTTTTCCTGTGAAAACCTGTTATTCTAATCATCTGGCTCTTCTTCCACCAGTTTCATTCCTTGCGTACTGCCTTTCTCTGGAAAGGCCTGGATTGAGCTGGTGACAAATACCGTGGAGGACTGTTTCAGGACTTTACAGAGAGTATATAACTGCGAAAGGAAAAATAAATCCAAAACTAACATAATATGTATTACACAAACTTCCATGTTTGACTACATTTTAAAAAAAAATTGTTTGCATTACAATACCACATAATGTGTCAATACAAAATCTACTCTGAAGTAGAAGAAAAATTCACAAAGGAAAGTCAACATATGTTGCTCATGGAAAATTCTATCGTCTCGTATGGAACATATAACAGACTTGTTGCATAATAAATAAACTTACTTTGGAACTAATACATCATGTAGAACTAAATAGTATGTACAACAAAATGTAAATATACCTATACATTTTCAGGATATTAATTAGAAAACGCCAAGATAACGACCCGCTTGCTGTCCGTTTAATGCTGTATATGAATTATTCTTTAGAGACTCCAGAGCACTACCATCGAGTGCATACAGAAATATTTGTCTTGGAGCAATACTGGTCTTCAGTCCACTGATCATCAGTGGCCCTTTCCAGACTGGAAAGAAAAGCTCACTTTTGATCTAGTTTTGTTTGGTAAATTTAAAATGTCATAAGTAACATGGTCTATACCCAGATGAAAGTAATCTCAAATTCAATTATATGTACTTCAGATTTATTGTAGCAATGGTATTGTACTTATGCCTTTACTAAAGACTTACAGGACAGTCTATGAAAACACAAGCAGTGGTTCCATTGTTAAACAATGATCCTATCAACTTTCAGCAGGTAGGCCAAGATTTAAGAGATTTAGCTTTACGTTCATTTTTTTTTAAGAGGATCAAAATTAAATGCATGCAAAAAATTGTTAACTCATGCTTATGGTTCCCACAATGCAATTGTCAACATTGATTGTAAATGCCTGGGTTACTGATCTAAACAAATTAATGTAAAACTAAAAATATTACATACAATTGTTCATGTGTGGCAAACATACTATGTGGGAATAACTGCTGTGCTCAATCAGGTAAGGAATACATGTTCTGGAAACGAATTGTTCTATTGTTTGATCTACACTGAGACTCTGCCAACTCCTTTTAATGTAGGACCCTTACAGCTGTCAAAGAGATTACACTTTTCATCTCTTCAGTCTAGGTTAGCTTTTAGATCAGAACCTGGAGGTGCAAGCACAGGAGGTTTGGCTCGGTGCATCATTCAGTCTACAAGCCCTTTGGCACTCTAATCCATTGCGCTATTAAATTCTAGATTTTCACAAAACGAACAAACCTAAATGGACTTCATAGAGAACATTCAAAAGAAAACACAAAATTGAGAAAGTGATAACAGTCTTATAAATTATAATAGTAAAAAGAATTGATCACACAGCTCCTTAACTTCAGTGCTTGCCATTGTTTTAGAAAGTACTGTAGTTCCATCTAGAAAGTAAAAATTAAAATCCAAGCAAATTAGTGAATGAGAAACAATGCAAGTCAGCAATGAAATTAAAACCATTTACACAATTGTACAAATAGTAACCTGTAGAAAACCTTGTTATATAGGTATGTTCACCATAGCAAACAAGGCTAATTGTTCTCATGTCTTCAAGCAGAAAATATGCTAAATTCACCATGTTAACAGTTGGATATTGAACTTGGAATGTATTAATCGAAAGACAAAAAATTGATTTCATTCACATTCTCACATACACTTCCACAGCCACAGAGAAGATGCAAAAGAGATTTTTTTNAACTTTCTAAATGTTGCTACATTACTTTCTAAATACATGGCAAGTACTGAAGTTAAAGAGCTGTGTAAAAACTGTCAATGAGAGATTTTACTTACGAAGAATGAAAAAACTGGCATTGGTTTCATTAAAACAAAGGTTGACAGGAGATGGATTTTTTTTAAATTATGGGGAGTTTTGAAAAAGTAAAGAATTTCTACTGCTCAGTGAGTAGGTAACTACAGTGAATAGATTTAAATTAATTAGCAAAAGAGTAACAACGGAGATTCGGTTTTTTTCCACAGAGGGTTGGGTTGTTGGGATTATGGGGCTAACTTTTAACAGGGAATTAGATAAATTTCTAAAAGAAAGTACAGCAACAAATTGCATTTATTTTAGCACCCTTCACCCTGGTACGGGGAAAAGGCAGGAGAATGGGACTCAAAGAATAGCTCTTTCAAAGAGCAAACACAGGCCTAATAGGCCAAATGGCTTTAATTTCTGCTGTAAATTTCAATGGTTCCATTCGGAGTATAAAAAAGGGAAGTCTGTCAGGTTTAATAATAATAATCCTGGCATTTGAAGTAGCACCTTATGGCATCGGGAAGTCTCAAAGCACTTCACAGGATATACTGTAAAGTGGAATGACTGTGTATTTTATGGGCGAAAAGTGGAGTGAGTGACCAATTTTATTTGGGGGATTGTTGGCCAGGGCACTGGGAGAAACATCTTTCCTCTCTGCCTGAACAGGCAGACGAGACTCCGGTTAAACGTCTCAAAGGAAGGACAGCACCTCTGACAATGCAACACACCCCCAGCACTGGATTGGAGTGTCACCTTAAACTCTGCAATTCCAAGTCACAGCATAGGGCTTGAACCCACAACTCTGACCCAGAGGAAAGAGTGCTACCACTGAGCCAGGTTCACATACCGTTTGGGTATATTGGAGTAAATCTGTCACTTTGGTTCGGTGAGTTTTTGGTTTGGTGGGTTCAAGCCCCAATTCTTAAGCCCAAGTTTTAGGCTGACAATTCTGGGAGGACTGCATTGTCAGAGGTGGGGTCCTTCAGATGCGATAAATTGAGATCCTGTCTGCCTCTCTAGATGCATGTTAAAGATCTCAGAGCACTATTCAGAAAGAAAATGGATTTTCTCAGTGTTCTGGCCAACACTCCAGATAAATGAATCACTCATTTCAAAGCTGCTTGTGGAGTCTCCATATAAATAAATTGGCTGCCTGCCTCATTAGCCTACTAGTCTTTACGTTTTACATCAATTACCAGAAAAGTGCTTTGTGAGGTTATAGGCCTACATCAAGTGTAAGCAATATAAATACGACTACATGATGTAACCTCAAATATGCACACTAACAGGGAAGATGGATATTCAATAGGATATAGGCCTTTCTTCATTTCATTCTTGTGCTATGCTGCAACCAAGCTCACACACTTAACCATGCAAGAGTGAATAAATGTTAGCAATCATTAAGATCAATGTTGGGAGCAAACTGCAATCATGTCATCCTGAAAAACAACTAATAATTTAGTCACTCAATCCGTGACTGTTTGTGGGATACTGCTGTGCGCAATTGGCTACCGCATTTTGCCCCCAAAATATAGTCAATTCACTTTGAGACGTCTAGATGTGTAAGGCTGCAAATAAAATGCAAGGATTACTATTATTATCCTGTGCAAGTGGCTGTTTCTCTGAAGCATCATAGGAAAAGTTTCAGTCTTTTATTAACATTAAATATTTTGTTTAATTAGCTTAAAAATATCTTGAGGGAGCTGGAGAACTGTGCTACTGGCTTCTGCAAAATAAACCTGAAATCCACAAAGCAGACCAGTTTTAGAACCTTATCAATTGATATTTTGAAACTGTATGAGAATCTCATCAGCACATGGATCTGTGCATTGGTTCTGTGGATAGTAATCTTCACATTTGGCATAGCGCTTTTCACGTTAGGAGGGTGTCTTAAAGTTCTACAGGATATACGGTAAAGGACATTGGCTTCGTGTTTTGTGGGTGAATATGTCAGTCAATTTGCACGCAGCAACATCCCACAAACAACCAATGTTATTTGGTCATAGGGATAGGGAATCTGAAAGGAGCTGATTGAAATCAAAACCTGGAGAACATAAACAATGGATAATCACATATAATTTATCTGACTATTTATCCCTCATTGAAGATTGTGTACAATGAGGTCAATCCTGCTGCCAGCAACAAGCAACTGATTGGACTTTTTTAAAGGATATGTAGACTTTAATAAGTACTCCCGTTAACCAGTTCACCAACAAATAATATCCACATGACCAAGACTGACTAACCACAACACTGCAGGAATAGTCTTGTTGAGATACTGAAACTTCAATGAAATAACATTTTTTTAAGATCAATTCAGCAATGAAATTAATACATTTTTCAGCTTTACAAATATACAGGATAAAATACAAGATATCTCTCTCTCTTTCTCATATATATATACTTACACTCTACAACTCCCCCACTCCACTCTTCTGCTTCTTCTTAATCTATATAAAGGGCAAGTGCAACGTACAAATGCAAGTTGTTATTGTTGAGCATTGTTCAGCTTGCAGACAATATTTTATTCTTTTCCATCAAAAATAATGAGGTAAAAGACTAATTCAAAACCTAGGTTTTGTTCCCAGACATCCTTAGAGCACTGTAGAATCAGAAGTATCTGCAGGATTTTGAGCCACATTTTAGCAGAAACTAGTTAAATCACAAGGTCAGCATTTCTGAGACAAGAGATTCACGAACCGCTCTTAATTTTGAGCTAAGTTAACCATTTTTTGTTTTCCTTACTCCTCTCCTGACACTGACTTGATTTTACAGATGCCAGCCCTTTCAATATGTTGCCCAAGTATCTATTCTTCATGTATGTGTGGGATGAGGTATGGGGCTTTCCGGCTACATATGGCTCAATTTTATACTGAGCAGTGGCTTTTCCTTTGAACAATTAGGAAATAATTTGCTAACCTAATTATTTTAAAAGCTATTTTTCCCTTCTACTTCCCATCAATATTTTCACTGGCCTTCTCAAGTCAGTGACATGCTGGGTATTGATTGATTCACAGGGAGCAGCAGAACTCCAAAGCTTCATATAGTTGTCTACTTTTTCATGCACAACTTTGGAGAGCCTTTTTTGATAGGGTAATTAACTATAGAGCCACTGCAGCTGAGGCCAATCCTATCCTCAGTTTGTGTTCACAGATGCACAACTACAACAGGATAGCAATCACGAGCAGGAACCTTGACCTGGAGTGCCCAAACTGTGGTATCCCATTAACACCCTCCCGCTCAAGGTTCGGCTACTCAACCATAGGAAGGAAATTAAATATCCTGGTTGATATGATAGAAACACTATTGCGATGTATTTACCTATCAAGTCATGGAGACAGGATTAGACTGTGATACTGTGAAGGCATTGGTACATGGTGTTTTAAAGAAAATGAATGCAATTTCCCACTGAATCCCATCAACTGTTATTTTGGAACCAGACACTTTTGATGGGACTGGAGTTGAAAAGGCAAAAAGACACCATAAAGGATTAAAATTTAAAATTAAATCTGGTTTGTTAAACAATGTATTTCTTGCACTAGATTTGTACAGCCTAAAGCCTGCTCTTCCCTTAACTTGATACATAAGCAAGAACTTTTTAAAAAATAATTATTATATTTAATGGGATCGACTTGAATTTGTTTGTTTTAATGAATTGATCACAAAAATACATTATGAGCTATAAATACTTTTATAGCTCAGATGGAGATGGTTGCAATCAACACCATAAGGCTGGTCAATTCCTGCCGTCAGCGAGCTAGGAAATGTTTTTATATACTACTTGTTACAAATATCCAACAATGCAAACTGTAAAAAGTGTAATCAAAACAATATCAGATGAAATACTTAGTAAGATCAATAAGGTTTGTATAATAAACAAGTGTTTTCAAAATGACATGCAACAAGAAGTGTTTATTATAGTTGATTTTTTAAGAATCAGGCACCATCACAATTTTATGAGTCTGCATTTGAAGTTTTGGAAAAAAAAGTTTGTAAACAATGAACCTGATACTGTAATAGTATTTTGGAAATGCTAAATTTCACAGATTCATAGTTTAGCTGGGTTGTGAAATACTGCATTATAATGTTTAGTTAAACTGAATTAATCACGTTTCACCCACAAAATACACAGTCAATTCATTTTTCAGCATATCCGGTGAAGTGCTTTGAGACAATTTTTAGACTGAAAAGGCGCTATATCAAATGCAAGTATTATTGTTATTACTGAATTCACAACAGATAGAAACAAAGAGCATCAATGGATACCAATCAGAAAAACATTGCTCTTTCCATTTCTGGATTAATATTTTCCCTCAAAGTATAACATGCATACAGAAACTTCCTTGCTATTCTTTAATCACAACTGCATGGATGACATATCAAATTAATAACATTGCAATGATCCTCAATACACTATAACAGTAAAATTATAAGGGAGAAAATCCTATAATAAACCATTGCTTTGTATAATGTTCTACACAGTCATTTTTATTTTTAACCTGGGGTATTGTCAATCAATTATTTTACCAATCAAATTGGCAAAAAGGAAACAATTAATGCAATTAACAGAATTAATGAAAATGGTACCTATTTCTGCATAAATACACACTCATTATTTTGTATAATGTTTTTCCTGCAGAGAAAAATCCAGTCATTCAGAAATCATTTGTATTTTCAAGGCACATAAATAATCTGTCAAAGTAAAGTATGAGATAATTATTAACTTTCAGTATTTTATAGCTAAACCTCGACATGATGGTTAGGGAGCACTGGTAGGGACTGCTAAATTTGAGCAGGACAAAATTATTAGGCATGGACCTCTAAACAGCTTTTGCATTCACATGACCACCCACTGAGGCGAGGAATGGCTCAGGGCATAAGGGGCTAAAAATGGAAAGAAGACTTTTGAAACAGATAAAAATAAGAGAATGTCAACAGATCTTAGTTTAGCACAAGTTATAACCAAGTTAAATGTGTGCATTCAAATATACATTAGTTAACCGCATTAGAGTACGAGATGACGGTTTTAATATTTTTAATGAGAAGCAAATCAAACTAACCCAATCACGTTTACTCCAACAAATCAAATTGGAAGATTTTACTAACCTTTTTGCCCCCCAAAAACTTTACAACTATGTGTAAATAAAACTATTTTGGTAAGTCTGTCAAAAACAATGAATTTAATCATTCTTCTGTTTTAAGACAACTTAAAGCTTACTTTTACAAAGCAATATATTGTCAACAACTTTGGTGTGCCAAATGCTGAAAGCTTAACTATGCGGAATTGAACTCAACCCAATCTCCTTGGGAAGTGGATTGAGAAGAAGCAGAGGAATGGAATACATTACTGAAATTGTATCCAAAAGGGAAACAGTCCAGCAAGTTCATGTGACCCAACGCCTTAGCGGGAAAGGGACCATGCAGGAAATGTTTCCTGTGGACCGCTTGTTAAGGTTTTTTTCTGATAAAATGCACGGGTAACTTGTGGATGGATCCCAGGAACCACGGCGCAAACCTTCCAGAAGTCTCGGTTTCCAAATTGGTTCATTGTGGGGAGGGGGGGAACAATCTGTGTATTGAATTTACCATCTTCCTACCACTACTGTAATGGCAATCTGCCAGAAATGTAATAGTCATTACTGCTCGCAGGGCGAGCGAGAGCTGCTATCCCCCTGCACCAGTCATTTTTTTTTCGTGCAATTTGAACGGGGCTCCGCTAAAGGGTAACAGATGTGGATTTTAACACATCTGCTATCAGTAAGAGGCAGATTCTGTCAATAGTTTTTTTTAAAAAAAAATCCCGACTGAGAAGCAAAATGCTCCAATTCAACCCTTTCTGGACGAAATGGTGTGTCATTACTCAAAGACCCTTTTGTCAGTGTGTGTGTGTGTGGGGGGGGGGGGGGAGGGGGGGGTCGCCACGAAAAATAAAGGCAATGATAAATAAAGCGGCAGTTTACTGGAGGTGGTCGACATAAACCTGGAAAACCTTTAAAAACCCTGACGGGATCTACGGCATTTCGAATTAAGGGGAAAAGGGGTTGAAGTGGGAGGAGGAGGGGAGGAGGGGGGGGAGAGGAGGAGGGGGGGAGGAGGGGGAGAGGAGGAGGGGAATTAAGAAAAAAAATAATATCAACCATCGGCCTACTTTTCTCTCGATGCTACGAACACATTGGGATGGATCCCCAATGAAGGCGAGGACGCGTATCCAGCAAATCCCCACGTTAATATAGATATTAATATGTAGATATATAGATAGAGATATATATAGAGAGAGAGATTAATAATTATATGAATTCGAAATAAAAATCAAACATGTCCCCCCCCCCGGTTTAGGAAATAACAATAACACCAGAAAGGTGCACAAGGAGAGCCGCTCCACCAAGTAACGGAATGTGATTTTGAACCCAACCCTTTTTTTTTCTCTTTCATTTCCCCCTTTTTTTCGTTAATAAACAGGAGAGAGAGAGAGGGAGAGAGAGAGAGAGAGAGAGAGGAGGGAGGGAGAGAGAGAGAGAGAGGGAGGGGGGGAAAAGGAAAAGAAAGAAGAAAAGAAATCTCCCCTCTCTCAGCCCAAACCGGTCAGTCCTGTCCAGTCCAGAGCCATGACAACCCCCCGCGACCCTCCGCCACCATTAAACCCCCGGGGGGGGGGGAGGGGGGGAGAGGGCAAAACCGAACCGCTTTCCGCCCTCGATACCGTTATCTTCAATTTTTTTTCCTCTCACATCCCAAGTATAAACCCCTCAGGCCAGGCCAGGCCAGCGGGAGGCTGGGAATTCCCCCCCGTTTTTTTTCCTAACCTCTCTCTCCCTCCCTCCCCGTCTTTGTGTGAATCTGTCAGGCGGACTCACCCGGGTAAGCGCGGGAGCACAGGCAAACGGCAGCAGCACTGCCCGGGCGATCGCAAACCGTCGCCAGTCCCCGCCGGCGTTGCTCGGCAATAACCCGAAATCACTTCGCAGCGCGGCCACCGGGGGCAGCGGAGGACGAAGAGCACGCATGCGCCGCAACCACAGCCTGAGTGGGCGTGGTTGCGTGTCGCTTCACGCCGTCGTCGAGCGCCAGCCGTCCAATCAGAAATGGCCCCTGACATCCAGCCGCCCACAGGGGGGCAAGACACGGAGAGGGAGGGGCCAGGGACTCGCGGAACAACGGGTCCCGCACTGACTCGGCTCGGCTTGGCTGGGCTCGCACCGCAAAGCTCGCCGGGAGTTGGAGTTTTCCGAGCCCGTTTACCTGGTAACGCGAAGCGCGTCGGGTACTGCGACTCCCGGCGTGCCCCGGCGGCGTGACGTGAATGGCGGGTCGCCATGGTGAGGACTGGCCACGGATTGGGGTGGTTCAGCGTCTTGTCTGCAGCGCCTCGGTTCAACCGCTTCTCTGTGCAGACCTGAGCCCCAGTGTGAGCGGGTCCCGCTGGTTTGGTGCAGCGTTGGATCACATGAAGGCCTCCCGTGACTCAGACGTGGACGAAGCTTTGGAGAGGTACCAGCGAGGTTTAAGAGGTGAGTGAGTGTCAGACCGCCAGGGAGCAGCTCGGGGAGGAAGGCCTAACCCGAGCTTTCGGGGCAGAGCTGTGAGTAATAATAATCATTGCATTTTGATACAGCGCCGCTATCATGTCCCGTCGAAACATCTCACAGCGCTTCAAAGGATTCTGGGGTGAAGTGCAGTGACTGTGTTTTCCAGGTTAAGCGCAAGCAAAGTCTTGCAAACTACCACGAAGTGAATGACCCCATTTCCTCTGGAGGATTGTTGGCCAGGACACAGAGAAAAAACTCCCTTCTCCTTTTGAGTAGTGCCATGGGAGAGATCCTTTGACGTCCCATCTGAACAGGCAGATGGGGTCTTGATTTAACAACTTGCATTCATGTAGCACCCTTCACACTGGGCAGCGTCTCGGAGCGCTTTAACACCTCATCCTTGGCTGCCGCCTTCTCCCACAAGTATGCGGTCAGTTCACTTTGCAGTGTGTTCTGTGAAGCGCTTTGGGACGTCCTCCCGACGTGGAAAGCGCTATATCAAATGCAAGGATTATTATTATTATTATTATCCGAAGCACCTTCGACAAAGCAGTGCTGCCCAAGCAGCGGAGTATCAGCCTGGACTGTGCGTTTCAAGTCCCCTTTTGGGGCTTGAACTTACAACCTTCTGACTCAGATGAGAGTGCTTCGCAGGTGTGAGTGCTATCAACTGAGCCAGGGTACCATATAATAGTAATCTTTACTTACATATTGAATAACGCTTTGGTATTTTGCCAATCTGTTCACCTTGCAGAGAAGGTTGTATCAATTGCTTGATATTGGCCTTTGTTTACTGAGCCCAACAAGTAGCTGACATTCACATCAAAATTTGTCAGGATACAGATTAATCAGACTGTACTTGTTATATTTTAAAATAACCCATTGCCTTTCATGAAAAAAGTCGCAAACAATTTAGTCTACATACGCACACTTTGTCTACACACACATAAATAGAATGTCCTACTTTCTGTTTTCACTCTCATAGGATGATAAATCAAACTTTTTGAACAAAAATTATTTTTTAAAAGACCAGCTAACACTTTATTGCTGTGTTTCAAGAGTGTTGAATGGCAACGTTGTTCTTTGTGCAAATCCAGTGTTTAACAGTTATCTTAGTTAACTCATGGCCTGTTTTTGCGCATACACAATGACATTTTATGAGACGTTAGGGTCTGTTCAAGTGGCACTATTTAAAAAGAGAAGGGTGATTCTCCCAATGTCCTGGCCAATAAATCCTCCAAATAAAGTTGGTCACTCACTCCTATTTCAAATGCAGGAATTATTGTTAATTGTAGCAGAGGTCAGGAGTTATGCTTAAATATTAGATGACCTGGCTCCTAAACCTTTGCCTGTTTAGGCTACTTTTTGGTTTAGGTTTCAACAACAACAACAAAATTACATTTGTAAAGCACCTTTCACATCAGGAGAATGTCCCAAGGTGCTGAACAATCAGCGCTTTGGACCCGAGCTGAGGGTCAGGATCCGGGGAGGGTGGAGGGCAGAGGGGGATGGAGGGCGATCGAAGGCACAGTCATAGAGGAGGGTCTTGAGACAGGTCTTGAAGGAGGGAAGGGGCGAGGCAGAGGGACTGCTGGATGGAGTTCTAGAGGGCGGGGGTAGAGTGGCATAAAGCCTGCCCGCCAGTAGTGGGGTGAGCGAGGTAGGGTTCATGAAGCAGGCTGGAGCCCGCTAAGTGGAGGTATCGAGCAGGTTGGTAGGGGTTTAGGAGATCGCAGAGTTAGGGGGGAGCAAGGCCATGGAGGGCTTTGAAGGTGAGGACCAGCATGTTGAACTGTATCCTCTGTGTGATGGAAAGCCAGTGGAGTTGGGCGAGGATAAGAGTGATAGGGTCACAGAGCCTCGTGCGGGAGAGGGCACAGGCTGCAGAGTTCTGGATTATGTGGAGTCTGTGGAGGGAGGTGTTGGGGAGGCCGACAAGCAGGGAGTTTGCATAGTCAAGCCTGGATGTTACGAATTTTGTGTGAGGGTTTCGGCGGCCTGAGGTGTGGAGGCGCTGACGGGAGACAATCAGGAGGGCCTCGGTCTTGTTGACCTTCAACTGAAGAAAATTAGCTCTCATCCAGGACTTGATGTCTGGCAGACATTCTGTCAGGACAGCAGTGGTCCTGGATTCGAGCGTGGAGGCAGAGAGGTAGAGTTGGGTGTCATCCGCATACATGTGGAAGTTGACCCCATATCTGCGGATGATGTCACCAAGAGGGAGCATATAGATATTGAAGAGGAGGGGACCAAGGTCAGAGCCTGAGGAACACCGCACAAGACTGTGCGGGGGCAAGAGGAGAAACCGCTTGTGGAGATGAAGTGGAGATGGTGTGAGAGGTAGGATCGGAACCATTCAAGGACAGAACCATGAAGGTTGAGGTGAGAAGAGAGGTGGTGGAGGAGGATAGAGTGGTCAACGGTATCAAAGGCAGCAGAGAGATCAAGGAGGACGAGGAGGCAGAGGGAGCAAATGGATAAAATGCCATTTGTCAGTTTGACCAAAGCTGTTTCTGTGCTGTGGGCGGCACGGAAACCCGATCGGAGGGGTTCGTGAAGGGAGTGGTGGGAGAGGAAGAGCGAAGCTGGGAAGCAATGGCTCGTTCCTGGATCTTGGAAAGGGAGGCTGGAGATGGGGCGGTAGTTTGAGAGCAGAGATGGGACCAGGGAGGATTTTTTAAGGATAGGGGTGATGACTGCCGTTTTTAAAGGGGTGAGAATGGTGCTAGTGGAGAGGAAGAGATTTATGATGTCTGTGAGTAGAGGGGCAAGGAGGTGGAGCTGGACGATAAGGAGAGGGGGAGGGATGGAGTTGAGGGAGCAGGTGTTTGGTTTCATGCGGATTATAGTGGTGATGAGCGAGGAGTGGGAGACAGGTTTGAAGATGTGGAGGCAGGGATGAATAGTGGCCGGAGTGTGAGGGGAGATAGGGTGGGGGTAGTAGACGGAAGGCCATAGGCAGCTGAGCGGATCCTCTCGACTTTGGTTTCGAGGAAGTTCAGCATCTTCTTGCAGTTGGAGGAAAGAATGGGTGAGGCGTGAGATGGTGGGCGGAGGAGCCAGTTGGTGATCGAGAAGAGGATCCTGGGGTTGTCCTTGGCCTCCAAGATTGTCTTGGAGTAAACAAAGCCTCCCAGCCCTGGCTGTTCAAACTTCAGGAATAGTATCAATGGCCAGGAATGACAGACAGGATGTCTGGTGGTAATAGTTAAGCTGCCAGCACATCAAAGTTGACTGACCCAAAGGGAAAACACAGCAAATCCAGACCATATTGTTCTCTACTTTAATCTCTGATGAACTATGCATACGTAATAATGGGATTGTTTTGTTTCGGCAGAATTTATTTTTAGTTACTTTTACAGTGATGGAAATGATTGTATTAATTTATACCAACATTAAATTTATAAATAGCAGAAAACTATAAAAGACCTCAGGAGTTTATAGTAATAGTATTATTACCATAACAGTAATAATCCTTACATTTTATACAGCGCATTATCACATTGTCAAGAGGTCTCCAAGCACTTCACAGAATATATTGTACAGTGGATTAACTCTGCATTTTGTGGGCGAAACACTTACTGCACTTCTATTTATAAACTTTCTAACTAACTGCTAATTTACTTACATTGAAGACTTCCTCCTTGCTTGGGAAAAAATGCATTTATATATTGCATGACAATTGGCCATCTCTGTCACAAGGTCACAAGATTGATTATTTCATTACTTGGCTGTTGCTCTTGCTGCTCTTTCCGGACCCTGGATTGTAGTTCTTCTACCATTGCCTGAATGATCTCATCAATCTGCCTCTTTATTGAATTGTTTTATGACTATTACCATCTATATGGAGTCCGGAAGCTCAGTGGTTAGAGCACTCGTCTCGCAACAACAACAACATCTACAACAAAATTACATTTGCATAGCGCCTTTTACATCGGGAGGACGTCCAAAGGCGCTGGATAGTCAGAGTTTCGGACCCGAGCTAGGGGTTAGGATCGGGGAAGGTGGAGGGCAGGGGTGGAAGCAGGGTGATCAAAAAGTGGTCGAAGAGGAGGGTCTTGAGATGAATCTTGAAGGAGGCAAGGGAGGGGGCGAGGTGGAGGGACTGCAGGATGGAGTTCCAGAGGGTGGGGGCAGAGTGAAATAAGGTCATCCCGCCAATAGTGGGGCGAGCGAAGCGGGGGACGTGAAGCAGACCACAGCCCGCTGAGCGGAAGGAGAAGCAGGATGGTAGGGGTTAGGAGGTTACAGAGGTAGGGGTGAGCAAGGCCATGGAGGGCTTTGAAGGTGAGGACCAGGATCTTGAATTGTATGTGTGATGGGAAGTCAGTAGAGTTGGGCGAGGATGGGGGGTGATGGGATCACGGAACCTGGTGCAGGAGCGGACATGGGCTGCCGAGTTCTGGATGATCCGCGGCCTATGGAGGGAGTAGTTGGGGAGGCCGACAAGCAAGGAGTTTGCATAGTCAAGCCTCAATGTACTGAAAGCGCGTATGAGAGTTTCAGCAGCCTGCAGTGTGAGACAGTGGCGTAGCCAGGCGATGTTGTGGAAGTGGGGGAAGGCAGAGCGAGTCATGGCACAGAAAACTATAAACTTGCGATGTCGTCACAGATGGCATCGCAAGCAAGAGGCCTGGGTTCGATTCCTGGCAGGGCGATATGTTGGGCTAAGTTTCCTTAGTCCACATGCCTCTGTTTACCTAGCTGTAAATAGGAACCTGGTTGTTAGTCGATTGGTGGATCGCTTTTCCGAGGGTAATAAAAAAATAATAATAAATTGGTCACTCAATCCACCACTGTTTGTGGGACACTGCTATACGCAGTTGGCTGCGCGTTTCGCCCACAAAATATACAGTCAATTCACTTTGCAGTATATTCTGTGAAGTGCTTTACAATATCTTGAAGACGTGATCAGGCGTTATATCAAATGCAAGGATTATTATTATATCTAGAATTATCCCAATGTTTCTTGTGCAGTTCTTGGACAATGTGCAATAATAATCCCAATTCCTAAGATCTTCAAACTGAAGCCTAAATGGCTCAGACCTTTCCTCTTTTACACACTCATTCTGTGTAAACATATAATCAGGTATTTAATCTCATGTCCTGACAATACTCTAACTCTCCTTTTATTCACTGTTCATCATGGATATTGAGATATCTCTGCATCATCAGCTGCTGCCAAAATCATTTTTTTCTAGTTACGATTCCCTAAAGGCTTCTCTTATTTGCCTCTGATATAATTTCCATTAGTGCTCTGAGAGTGGTTGAGTTCCTTAACATTAATTATTGTGGAACCAAAGCACTATTCTATTTCTTAATTACTGTACTTTTAATTTCTCTTGGTTTCCATGCTCACATTTGCCTCTTCCCGATAGAGCAAAACTTACATTTAAAGCTTTGCAATAAAATTCTTTGAAGCTAACCATTGATGATTTCTCATCATCTATCTATTATAACTGACTAAATCACTTAAATCACCAGAAAAGTCTCCCTGATTTAGTCCCTATTCTGATCTCAATCAGAGCACCAGTGACTCGGTGACCTCATTGTATGAAGATAAGTCTTGGGTTTGTCTGGCGTTACACAAATGAAAGTTGTTGTCTGCTTATATTGATAAATCTCCATTTACACCCCACCCCCCCCTGAACATAGGGATGCACACTGTGGTTTCTCCAGCTGGTTTTGTGTAAGCAATATACACAACTGTTTGTGGGACACCTGCTGTACGCAATTGCTGTTGCATTTCGCCCACAAAACATCCAGTCAATTCACTTTACAGTGTATTCCGTGAGGCGCTTTGAGACATCTCAATGATGCGATAAGGCGGTATATCAAATGCAAGGATTGTTATTATACAAATTAACAAAAGTGTGCATTTGTATATAGATATGCACAGATAGTTTAAAAAAGATTTAATTCAGCTATCCAATACAAATAGACCAAGTAAATAGAGTAAAGATTGCTGTACTGAATGATAAGGTGAAAGTGTAAGCCAACCCAGCAAACAACTTTCACACAGGAATGTCAAACAAACAGCTATGAAGCCCGGTGCCAGTCGAGCGGAGGCGTCGGATGGTGGACTGGGGAGTGAGGAGATCAGAGAGGTAGGGAGGTGCCGGAGAGTGAAGGGATTTGAACACGAGTGTGAGGCACTTGAAGTCATAAAACTATTCTATAAGTGTCCATCGGTACCAATGCTCTTTTTCCAGTTGAAAATGTCCAAACACATCATATTTAAAGTTCTACATTTTATATATGGCACATTAACAGGACAAGCATATTGAAAATCTATTTGTATTACAGTACAATACAATTTAGATTTATATTGTGCCTTACATATTGGGAGGACATATTGTATAATTTTTCCCTGGGATGGGTCAAAGGCAAAGTTAATTAAATTAATGAAAGCGATAGGGGATAACTAAATAACATGAGAGGAATTGTATTGCAATTATGTATAACCAAATTTTATGGTTCTGGAAAATGTGTTATTCATATACATTTGTTTTAAAACCCATTTTTTCCCTCTTTTGTTATTGAGAAACAAATGAAATTGAAATTTGAATAATCACAAACATCTATAGAAAACCAAAACTTTATTTTCCACAAAGTTTGAGTATTATAATTCTTACATTTAATATAATGCCTTTCACATCAGGAGGATGTCTCAAAGTGCTTCACAGGATTTATTGTAAAGTATAATAAGTGTTTTGTAGATGAATACAACAGCCAATTTCAGCACATCAATGTCCCACAAAAAGCTATGAAATGTTTATTTCTAAGACTGGGGAATTTTGCAATAAGATAACAGAAAATTAACATCTGAAAAATAACAGAAAATGGTGGTGAATTTTGTAAGAAATTAGGTGAAAGGAATATTTGTATCTTAGATTTTGGAGGAGGGGAGAATGTGCTTTAGAAGAAAAGACCACTGTCTAATAAAAATGAAATAATGCATATTTTATAAGTTTTCAGTTTCAATATAACTGTACCAATGCTTCTGAAACAGTAGCTGCTATCTTCATATCGAAATATTATTCAGATTTTTTACATATGAAATACTGGGTGCATAAATTTAACATTCCCTTTTTACTAATTGATTCAGAACATTGTGCACTAGTGGTGCCCAAACAACTAAAATACAATTTGTCCAACACACATTCACTCACATAACACATAAATACATATATGTAGTATGTAGTGTAGAGACTCTTGCATCCATCACACAAGCGCAAACAGAATTTTTTCTTTAACAACTAGTTATAGTTATAGTTATAGTGCAATGCAGTACCTGCAAATAAAGCGGTTGCTACCAAATGTTGTGTAGTGAAGCTAGATGTGTATTTTACTTTATGTGTCTTTTAAATTGGTATTTTCTGTTACCACCTGCAGAGAGAGCTAGCAGAAGCATCAAGCAACTGAAGTCTACACTGAAAGGGCCGTATCATCAAGAATCCTCAGAGCTGGCTGGAGACTTGCTGTCTGCAGTGGAGGAACTTGAAGATTCCCAGACAAATACATTAAGTTTTCCAGGGAAGGGAAGGAGTCATTCTGAAATGGCATGGCAAGAGCTACAGCATAGCCATGCAGGTGATTGCAGCGTCATGTCCTTACTGAATTTATTCTTTGTTGTTATTTTTTCTTTGGTTAGCCTGATTTCTAAAAAATCTCCATGTTTGAAAGGATCCGAAGCAGATTGAAAATTCCACATAAGTATGCCAACTATGTATGGAAATTCCTGTTTGTCTGGAATTGAATAAGCACTCTCTCCTAATAGGACTGGACCTTGCTTACCTAATTCCAGAAACTATTAGGTGCAGGTTGAGCTAAGGTTGAAGGTCTCTTGAGTGTACTGCTGCAGTCCAGGCGACCACTGCGTAAGCTTGCCATTGCAAGATTCCTGTTGCTTGTCTGGCCAGAACCACCCTGCCATTAGGCTCAAATGGCTCCCTACCACCCAGACTGGCCCCACACTGCGATCACCCCATGTCAGCCTGTTACAATGTCAAGCCCTGGCTATGTGACCATGTGTTCAGAAACTTGGACTTCAGGTAACACCTTCCAGCATATGTTGTTTCAAGATTCAGAGTTTTTTTCATCCGCTATTTGACATAGATCCTTCTTCAGCTTCGTGAAAAACCTATCCAGGATAGCTGATCAACTGTGAAGTAACAGTGTTGAAGTTTGGGAAATAGTTTTTTTAACATTTTTTGTGAGTTGTCTGTAGAAAATCTAATTTCCTGCTGATTCATTCTAGTTCAAGATTTCCCATCAACCTTAAAAATAGAATATCTCATGGGTATAAGTGCATTTTTTTTACTTCCAGAAGTGGAACTACTTCCACTCTGGTGTTTGACATAGATCCAAGAAAAAGTATAATAAACAGTCAGTTTTGAAATATCCTATTTAGGTCCAAAGACATTGCCTAAAGACTTCTCATTTAAGGAATGCAGGTTACTTTTAGCTTCTTAGAATTTAAATAAACAAGACATGGCAATGTTTAACTATTTGTTGATTGAAATGCTATAACTATGAAACAAAACGTTTTGTAGAGGTTTCAATTCCTGCTTGCCTCTGATTAAAGATCCTGCTTCAGAATCTCATTCCTAATTTATTTTGGTTAAATGTTAATGTTTAATAAAATTGCTTTCCAATTAATGTTTTTGTATTTTTGTTCATTGTTTCACATTAAACATCCCAAAATAAGAATTTAAATATTACTGCTTCTGCCACATATTGTTCCCATCCAATTATTGTGTTTGTTTGACTTTGCAAATTAGATGGGGTTAATGTGGGCTGACATTTGAGTAAGAACTAATTTAAAAAAAAAGGAAATAGTTACTTTGGTTTCCCCCCCTCAATGGATGCAATGCTATGTCACACATATTTATAAAATATATAATTGTTATTTCATGGAAAATTTTACAAAGTGTTATCAATATTGTGAATTTGATGAATTTTATTTTGCTTTGGATTGGATACATTGCTGATTAGCTGATGTTTCAATATGGCAAACCAACTTCTGATCTCTCTACTATTGATTTCAAATTTGACATAGCTGTTGACAAGCTCCCCCAATTGTAAACAGCCCTGCTTCTGAAATGTGTTAGTTCAGATAGTTTGGGTGACAAATTGTTTGACAAATTTCTATTGTGCAATTGCTCACCAATCCAAAAGAGCCCTACTGTCGGCAGGCGGGCCTTCTGCCACTCTGCACCTACCCCCTGGAACTCCATCCCGCAGTCCCTCCGTCTCGCCTGCTCCTTTGCCACCTTCGAGTCCCATCTCAAGACCCTCCTCTTCGACCGTGCTTTTGATCTCCCTGCTTCTTCCCCGGCCTTCCCGCAGCTCGGGTCCGTAACTCTGTCTGTCCAGCGTCTTGGGACATCCTCCCGACGTGAAAGGCGCTATGCAAATGTAATTTTTTTGTTGTTGTGTTGTTGTCTTTTCACTCTGCAGTATATCCCGTGAAGTGCTTTGAGACAACCTTCTGATGTGATAAGACACAATATTAAATATATTATAATATAGTATGTAGGTATCATTGGAAAATATTTTCACTGCTGACATTTTTAATGGGAAGTATACATTGAAAATGCATTTAGATATTCTCTCATAGTATTTCAAGCCTTACTGCAGTCTATAATATAGTATAGTAAGTTTGAAATGCTCAGGGAGATAAACTTGTAATTTTTAAGGTTGTGTTTGGATTTTAGTGTGTAATATTTTGTTTTTTGATGCAGTTAATCAGCTTAGAGCCTTGCTGCGACAGCAGGAAATGGAAGAAATGGAAAGTTCACCACATAAGAGAAGGATATCTCCTACGGTAATTTACAATTAAAATGGATAATAAAGGGGGGTGGGACTCAATGATGCATTTGAAACTTTACAGCTTACTTTATATATTTTCTGTGAACTCTAATTAATGCATAAAAATAGTATGAACTCCATTATAGGTTAATAGGAGCGTACTATGTTTTCAAAGTTAATTGGATACTAGGATTGCATTTTTTGGTGAAAACCTTTTTTTAAATGTATGTGGGATTACATGTTTTTGATGTAAATAGGTACCTGTTGAAGTCCAGCTACTTAGACATTAGTTGTTAATTTGAGATTTGGAAGTGTACAGCTAAAGGTGGGAAATGCTCTGCTATAGCTGACTATACAGAAATAACAAATAGTATAAGTGTCTTTTAATATGCAAAGATACTAGAAAGGACATCTGTAGTGACATCTTTGACTTTAGACATTTTTAAACCATATGAAGTTCTGTGGGAAATAAAAAATTAAATCAGAAAGTATTATGCTATATATAAAAAAAATATTTTTTAAGTTTTGGCATAGTTTGACTTTATTTTTCTCTACAAAAGAGATGCCCAAGAGACACAGATGGGTCACTAGTTGTTGAAGATCTTGTTCCTATTCTTCACGATCAATCCGAATATATTCAGCATTTGGAAGCAGAGGTCAAGCTTTTTAAGGTTAGTAAACTGTGCACATTGTAATGGAGCATTCCCATAGGAGATTTCATCCTCCCAACTCACTCCTCACTTCCATTTCTTCTGGCCCACCCGCTCTCTCCATAACCTGTAAGTATTATGCTTAGGTTTCTGGAAGGGAAATACAAACATACAACAACAATAAAATTACATTTATAGAGCTCCTTTCATGTCGGGAGGATGTCCCAAGGCACTGGACAGTCAGGAGTCAGGACCTGAGCATGGGGGAGGGTGGGGTAGGGATGAGGGAAGGCAGAGAGGTGGGAGGAACACCGAAGGCACGATTTTCCACCTTTAGCTATACACTTCCAAATCTCAAATTAACAACTAATATCTAAGTAGCTGGACTTCATATCTTGAGACCGGCCTTGAAGGAGGCAAGGGAGGAAGCATATTGCTTATGCGGCCCGTGGACATTTCTCAAATAGGGCATCTGACCATCAGCAGGCAAAAGGTTACACCACTGTGGTCCAGAGTGTCAGTAATAATTCATTGGATTTGAATTCTTAGATTCCAAGAAATGCATCTGATTTTGAGGAGAACATTGAGATTAAGAAATAAATGGAAAACAACCTTGGAAAACAATCCCTTTCATGTATGAAATCATTTCAAGTAGGAAACCTTCACAGAGACTATGTGAAAATTTGAATAAAGTGGGACATAAGGGGATAGGTCAAAGATCACTGAAAACGTGCTAAACAGCTAGGGTTTCAGAAAGCTTTTGAAAGCATAGGAGGTTTTGTGAGGGAGAGAAAGTCAGAGAGCAGAGCTAAAAGAGTGGCTAAAAGCTTATAATAAAAATAATCCTTACATTTGATATAGCGCCTTTCATGTCGGAAAGAGGCCATCCTAAAGCGGTTCACAAGATTTACTGTAAAGTGTAATGACTGTATTTTGTAGGCGTGGAGGGATTTGTGGATCAGAAAGAGGATCTTGAAGTTGTCCTGCTGGAGGACAAAGAGCCAATCGAACCAGAGCTCAATGAAGGAGAAAGTACGGGTTACAGAGTCATGGATAAATAGGAAAACAACAGTGCCAGATGGAATTCATGCAAGAGTACTTAATAATATAATAATCATGACGTTTCGTACAGAAAATGTTGGGACATCTTCAAGCACTTCAAGCATCAGCTAATCAGAATATACTAAAATGAGTAGTAACTCTGTGTTTTGTGGGGGAACTTAAGGCAATGAACCTTGCAGAAAAGTAGTAGCTGAATTGTTTGGCAGATCATTAAATGCAGGAGTAGGATCACATAAATTAAGCATTAGAAACATTGCTGAATGACCATCACTTGGGTTATTTATGATACAACGAGGCTCTGAACTAGATGTATTAGCATAAAGCATAAAACAACTGCCGGCAAATGCTTTCATTTTAGTAATGTATTGACCCACTTTGATATTGACCACATTACCTCCTTAGATAGTAGTGATATAGTGGTTTCATTCTCCCTGTGGGATTCTTACAAATCATACTGTGAGCCTCCGATTTGAATGTGTTTTGTTATCCGTTTCATAAAAGGATCAGGTCACATATCAAATGTGCTTGATTGTGAAAATGGAACTTTGAGATGAAAATGGCAATGTTATAATCCTTGTATTAAATGTTGCAGATATTCCTGATGGACAAAATCATTCCTCTCACACAGACGGTCAACTCCTTGTTCACCTTATGTCTCATACGTGTTCTCCCGCTTCTCCCTCCCTCAATCACACTAGTTCCTCCCTTTCCTCTAATTTATATCTGTTTCCTTTTACTCTCCCTTTTCTCTCGCTCATGCATGTTTCCCTCTCATCCCCACCCCAGCCCTGCCATTCCCTCTCACTAACATCTATCCGGCCCCTCTCACCTTTCTCTCTCCAGCGGCCTCAGTGTCTCGGATGTCACTATCACCGACAAAGCCGTCTCCGATCACCACTTCATCTCCTTCACCACCTCCAACCCCTCCCCACCTCCACCAGACCCACCACCATCTTCTACCGCCCCTGGAAGAAGTTACCCCCACAATCCCTAACCGCTGCCTTGGAGTCCTCTGAACTCCTCTCCCTCTGGCCTTCAACCCTCACCGACCCCTCTTCTCCTCTCTCCCTCCTCCACAACACCCTCTCCTCCACACTCGATACTCTTGCCCCCATCACCTCCCGTACTGTCTCCTACTCTCGCTCCTCCCCCTGGTTCACCACCCACCTCCGCTCACTGAAGAGCCAGGTGCGGGCCGCTGAACGCACCTGTCAAATCTGGCCTAACGGTCCACCGACAAATCTGGCTGGACCTCCTCAAAATTTACCGCTCCACTCTAGCCTCGGCCAAGTCGTCCTTCTACTCCAGGATAATCCTGGAGGCGAAGAACAACCCCAGGCTACTGTTTTCTACCACATCCCGACTCCTCCGTCCCCCCCGCCACCCCGCGCAGGTCATCTCCTCCAACCTTCACTGCGAGGAGATGCTGGATTTCCTTGAATCCAAAATCAAGGGAATTCGCTCCGCGGTCACTTCCCCTCCAACATCCACCCACCCCCACCCCTCCCTCCCACACTCCGACTCCTACCCATCCTCCCCTACACACCTTCGTACCCGTTTCCCCACCCTCTGTCACCAAACTTATCCTATCCCTGAAACCCACCACCTGCTCCCTTGACCCCATCCCCACTCCTTATCTCCCAGCTCCACTTTCTTGCCCCACATATCACAGACATCGTCAACCTGTCCCTCTCCTCTGGCTCTGTTCCCATTCCCTTAAAAATTGTCACCATCACTCCCACCTTGAAAAAACCCTCCCTTGATGCGTCGCAGCTATCAAGCTACCGGCCCATCTCCAACCTCCCCTTCCTGTCCAAGGTCCTTGAACGAGTTGTCGCCTCCCAGCTGCGCTTTTTCCTCTCCACCCATTCATTATTTGAACCCCTTCAGTCAGGTTTCCGTGCTGCCCATAGCACAGAAACTGCCCTGGTCAAGGTCACCAATGACATCCTGACCATCTGTGACCAGGGCTCCCTCTGCCTCCTCGTCCTCCTCGACCTATCGGCAGCATTCGATACGGTCGACCACGCTATCCTCCTCCACCGCTTGTCCTCCCACCTCAACCTTCAAGGCCCTGTCCTTGAGTGGTTTAGGTTGTACCTCTCCCACCGTCTTCACTTTGTTTCCACGAATGGCTTTTCCTCCACCCCCCGTACTGTCTCGTGCGGTGTCCCTCAGGGCTCTGTCCTCGGTCCCCTCCTCTTCACCCTCTATATGCTCCCCCTTGGTGACATCATCCGCAGACATGGGGTTAACTTCCACATGTATGCGGATGACACCCAACTCTACCTTTCCTCCTCTACCCTCAACTCCACGACCACCGATGTCCTGACAGCTGCCTGTCCGACATCGAGTCCTGGACGAGAGACAACTTTCTTCAGCTCAACGTGCGAAAAACCGAGGCCCTCCTGATTGGCTCACGTCAGCGCCTCCGCACCTCAGGCGCTGACACCATCAGCATCCAAGGCTGCACTCTCCACCTCTCAAAGCCAGTCAGGAACCTCGGGTTCTGTTCGACCCTGAGCTGTCCTTTCTCCCTCATATCCGCACCACAACTGGCACCGCCTTCCATCACCTCCGGAACATCGCCAGACTACGGCACTACCTCACCCCTCACGCTGCTGAAACTCTGGTCCACGCCTTTATCACCTCAAGGCTGGACTATGGGAACTCTCTCCTCGCCGGCCTTCCCGCACCTCCCTCCACAAGCTGCAGGTCATTCAGAACTCTGCAGCTCATGTACTGTCCCACATCACTCCCACCCTCGCTCGCCTCCACTGGCTCCCCATCCCCCAGAGGATCGAATTCAAGATCTTCATCCTCACCTACAAGGCCATTCACGGCCTCGCTCCCTCCTACCTCTCTGACCTACTATCCCCCTACCTACCTGCCCGTACCCTCCGTTCCTCTGGCTCCGGTTTGCTCCACATCCCCCGCCCCAACCGCCCTACCATCGGTGGCCGGGCCTTCAGCCTCTCAGCCCCGAGGCTCTGGAACTCTATCCCCCAGTGCCTTCGCCGCCTCCTCCCTTTCCTCCTTCAAGGCCGGTCTCAAGACCTTTCTCTTTGACCGAGCCTTCAGCTTCCCTCTCGACTCTCTACCCCCTCCTCGCTCCCTCCCTTCCCTCCCCTCACCCTGACCATTTCCCCCCCGATGCTCGGGTCCTGACCCAACTGTACAGCGCCTTGGGACGTCCTCCCGACGTGAAAGGCGTTCTATAAATGCAATCTTGTTGTTGTTGTTGTTTACCCCTTTCCACTTCCCTCTCACTTGCTCTAAAAACAAATGTATTCATGTCCTTACCAACATTTTAACAATGTTGCAACCTGGGTGTTAGAATTGAATATAATTTTGTTAACTGGTTACAAACTACAGTAATTACATAGAACAGTATAGCATAAAACAGGACATTCACCCAATTAGTCCATTTCGTGGAGTCCTGTAGCTCAGTGGTTAGAGCACTCGCTTTGCACGTGAGAGACCTGAGTTCAATTCCAGGCAGAGGGTGAAACCTTGGGCAAGTTTCCTTACTCCACACAGAGCCTAATAATAATCCCTCCAAAACCAAAAACAATAATAAAATTGGTCATTTTCAATCCACGACTGTTTGTGGGACATTGCTGTGCGCAATTGGCTGCCGCGTTCGCCCACAAATATACAGTCAATTCACTTTACAGTGTGTTCTGTGAAGCGCTTTGGGACGTCCTCCCGACGTGAAAGGCGCTATATCAAATGCAAGGATTATTATTATTCTGTGTTTATACTTCACGTAAGCCTCCACCCCTCCAGATCCCCATCCTATGCCACTTTATCACCTCTCTCATGTATGCATCACCTTTTGCTCTTAAGTACATTGAGACTTTCTGCTTCAAACACAGCGTCCAACAGTGACTTAGTTCCACATTCTTACCATTCTGTCTAAAGTTCCTCCCAAACTCCCTTTTAGTTCTGCTATTGTTTTTAGCAGATATAGTTTCAGCTCTTTTGTGCTAATGTTTATGAAAGAGTTCAGGTTATAGGTTGATAAATCTAAATCATGAGAAGACTGTCAGGAGACCAATCAATATTTATATATTTTCAATTGTCTTTGAAAAGTCAAACTGGTTACTGGTCAAAGTTGTGCTTTACACTCTGTTATTTGCTCAGGAGGATTTCACGAGCATAAAACAGCGTGTTCAGGTGGTTGTGGTTGAAAATGAAAAGCTTCGTGAAGAACTGAAATCAAGGACTGTTCGGCATACTCTGAAAAACCTGAGCTCTGCTTCAGTAAGTCTGAATTTCCCAGTTGTATCTGAGACTTTAACAGAACTCATTATTTCTTTTATGTACCCATTGATAGCAGAAATATCACAAAAATTGTTTAATCTGGTTATAGTGCTAATTCACCCCCAACTCGCTCGGCTCCACTGACTTCCCATCGTCCAGAAGATCAAATTCAAGTTCCTTGTCCTCGTGTTCAAACTCCCCACTCTATCTCTGCAACCTGCTGCAATCCTACCACGCCAGATGTTCCCTCCAATCAACATTCCCGCTTCATGTCTCCAGCTTATTAACCCCACCCTCAGTGGGCGAGCTATCAGCCATTCTGCCTCTGCTGTCTGGCACTCCATCCTAGAGCCCTCTGACTTGCCTCCACCTTCCTCATCCTTAAAACTCACCTTAAGACATTTTTTCGACCATGCTCCCTGGCCTGAGATTCCAGATCTGGGTTCAGCTATGTGAAGCGTTTTGAGGACTGGAAGGCGGCCTTCTGAACTGAAAGGCACTAAATAACACTAATTTGTAATTGTAATCCAGTGGTTAATGGTACGGCTGATGTTAAAGTTTCACATTTTTCTGACAATTTATAACAACTACTTTAGCGAACCCAGTTCTTTAGTGCTCTACCATGAGCTACAGATCCACATGTGACACAAACACTTAAAACTGAATAAGAAGGTTTTAAACCCACGTGTGCGGAGCTAACTCTTTGTGATTAATCATGTACATTGTTAGGCCTGGGGCATGTGAACGAGGTGCACACCACAACTCAGACAAAAAGAAACGTTGTAAATTTGATAGTACTTAATCTTTATCATATTTAAACGTTCTTAGTTTGGGCTTTTTTTGGTTGCAAGGTCGTTCCAGGCATATGTGCCCGTGTTCCCCCACATTAGTCAACACTTTACATGTAGCATGATTAGATCCCGGCACAACATGACGTGTCAGCTCCAGTCACATGTGGGTTTAATAATCCTGTTCTTAGTCAGCTTTTAACGTGTCTTGTGTCACATGTGTGGGTCATGGTTAGAGAACACTCACAGAGCAAGGGCAGACACACTGGCACTTCCCTTCAGGGCAGTCAGGGGGGGGCAAACCGTTGTCCATGTTTCCTTACTCCGCACACACACACACACATGCTCTGTTTACCTAGCAGTAAGTAGGAACCTGGTTGTTAGTCGATTGGCGGATCGCTTTTCTGGAGGTAGTAATCCTTCAAAAAAAAATTGGTCACTTAATCCACGACTGTTTGTGGGACACTGCTTTACGTAATTGCTTGCTGTGTTTCGCCCACAAAATATGCAGTCAATTAGCTTTACAGTGTATCCTATGAAGAGCTTTGAGACGTCTTGAAGACGTGATAAGGTGCTATATCAAATGCAAGGATTATTATTATGATGATGATATTTTATGAAACCTTTAGTATTTGTGTTCCTCAGCAGTAAAGACGTTTTCCTGTACTTTTCCAGGCAGACTCACCAGTTCCTTGCCTGGAAGTGCAACAATCCTTAAACACAATGGCAGTTCGCCAGTCAACATCACCAACCAAAAGCCAGAATCAAGCCATTTCTCCATTGTGTCCAGAGAAGGAGATTACAGCAGATGAAACGAAAAAGTGGGCGATGGAACTGGTTCGTGTTTGTGTGTGTGTTAACAAGCACAGAAATTAGTAATATTTTCAAAAAGGTTGATGTGCATTATATTCATTTTAGCATGAATTTGATTATTGGGATTGTATCTTATTTACATTGGTCTTATTTACATTGTTACATTTCTGAGTGTGTATCTGTTGCTGTAATAACTAATCTGTTCCCTAATTTGGAGGATTGTCCCAAATTGCAAGAATAATTTGAGGTTTGCATGTAATTTAAGCCTCCTTTATGCTGTGTTTTAGGAAAATCTAAGGAAACTTCACCAAGCAAGCGCTGAGACAGTGGAGGCTCAGCTTTCATCATCAAGGTAATAAACTTCCGAAAGAGTTATCTACTGTATTTACCCATTGTAAACACTGCTCACTATTAAATGTTATATCTTGGCAACCACACGATTTAACGCAAACTACCATTATCCTACTGAATGACAATATTTGCCATGAGAGCAATGATAACATTTTAATTTATTGGAAATATTTGTGGTAATTTTTTGTGCGTAGTTTGATTTTCATTTGAGTATATACCTGGCAACTGATTAATGTCTGAGGTTGGCAAACATTCTGCCGTCAACAATCTCTCCCTCTCCCTTGTTACTGCCCTGAACAGGATGTGTGCGTATGTGTGTCCACCCTTGTTCTCTGTGTGTGTTTCTCACACACCACACACACAGATATGCGCACACATAATAATAATAATAATCCTTGCTTTTGATATAGCGCTTTTCACGTCGGGAGGATGTCCCAAAGCGCTTCACAGAACACACTGTAAAGTGAATTGACTATATTTGTGGGCGAACACGGCAGCCAATTGCGCACAGCAATGTCCCACAAACAGTCGTAGATTGAAAATGACCAATTTATTATTGTTTTTGGTTTTGGAGGGATTATTATTAGGCTCTGTGTGGAGTAAGGAAACTTGCCCAAGGTTTCGCCCTGCCTGGAATTGAACTCAGGTCTCTCGCTTGCAAAGCGAGTGCTCTAACCACTGAGCTACAGGACTCCACATACAGAGATACACACACATACAGAGTTAGACACACACACTCATCCTCCCTAGTTAGGGGCCTGAACAGAGCAAGTGTGTGTGTCTGTCTCTCTCTCTCTCCTGCCAATTTTTTTTGGACAGCCAGGTGTCTTACACACTAGGAAACCCGTCACCATGCTTAAATGTCTCCAAACCAAGCTGGGAATCCCATGCATCCCACCTACAAATGGAAATCCCAGAGATAGATTACCACCAACAATCTCTTTCCAGCTCTCCTCTCTGTCACTCCTTTTCCTCTTTCACTCTGTACCACCTTTCTCTCTCTCTCTCTCTCTCTCTCTCTCTCTCTCTCTCTCTCTATCTCTCTCACTTATTCTTGTGCGCTTTCTGCTTGCACACTCCCTTTCTCTCTCTCTCTCGCTTATTCTCTCTCGCACTTTCTCGCGCAGTCCTTTTTTCTGTCTCTCGCTTATTGGCAGATCACTTTCCGGGGTAATAATCCCTTCAAGACAAACGAACAGACAAAAAAAAATAATAATCTGGTCACTCAATCCACGATTGTTTGTGGGACGCTGTATGCGCAATTGGCTGCCGCATTTCGCCCAAAAATTTACAGTCAATTCTCCTTACAGTATATTCTGTGAATAGCTTTGAAACGTCTCAACAATATGATCAGGCGCTATATCAAATGCAAGGATTATTTATTCTGCCTGAATGACGAACTGTCAATGGCACAGAGCTACATTGTGTTTAAGTACCTGCTCTAGTTGTAGTGGGGGAGATTAGTGCCCATATACCTGCTGCTGTAGGGGTGTGCTAAATGGAAACTCGGTCTTTTTCTAGATCAGAGAGGGGAGTTCAGGGTGGGAAAGGAAAATCCTTTCTTGATCACTGTTCCACCTCTCTTTGCAGCCAGCTCAGAATGGCATTGGCGAAGGTCTGGTAGTAAGCCTATGATCTCAGATGCTTTATTATATGATACGGGAGGGAAATCTAGTCAGTTAACTTTTTTCCTTGGGATTTGCTGATAGATTTTGATATGTATATGAACCCCCAAAGATAGGTTTTAAAAACGGTAGAAGATTCTGACACATTAAATATCTCTAATCTTTTTCACAGAGATTTCCACTATCTCACTTCAAATCTCTAACCTAGCTTAACTAAATAATCATTTCGCTTAATATAGTGCCTACCTTTCATGTTGGGAGGGCATCTCAATGTGCTTTACAGGAATCATTACAAACTGTATTTTTGTAGGTGTACAACGTCAGCCAATTTGCACACAGCAATGACCCATAAACAGCCATGATATCAATAACCAATATTTTCTGGGGAATTGTTCTCCAAAACTCCTATCTCTTTTTGAATTGTGTCATGGCATCTTTGACATCCACCTAAACAGGCAGACGGGACCTCAGTTTTAATGTCTCATCTGAATGATTGCACTTCCGACATTGCAACGAACTCCCACATTTCAGCACGGAAAGTTATTTTTATTTTGTGATAATTTAATTGTATTAAACTAGTTTTGTTTTATTCCTCATTTGTGAATGTAATTGCCAGCCATGTTTTTATTTCTGGAATTCCAGAAAGGATCTGTCAGAAGCTCAAAAAGAATGTGAAGATCTTAAAGGAAGGTTAAGGCACCAAGAATTTCTGCTCGCAATGCCTAGTTCAGTGCGTGTTGGAGGTTTATGTTTGAAATGTGCACAGCTTGAGGCAGTTTTGGCCCAGACTCATACTGATGTTCACATGAAGACTGTTGAAAGATTAACAAAGTAAGTACTGTACGCTTCAAAGAAATCCATGGAAACATGGATTTATCCAATTTAAAGATAAATTGCCAAATCATACTACATTCTTTTTTTCTTTGTATAGAGAAAGAGATGAGCTAATGGATATGCTGACATCTTTGAGAAGCAATCTTAGTGACATGCAGGAGAGAGAAACCATTGTGTGTCACCAGATAAAAAGAGCAGTGGAGACGGCAGAAGAAGCCAACTTGGAGAAAGCACAGGTAAAAGAACAAAGGAAACAATCTCCATCCTAGAGGATTGTATTGTCAAATGGACTGAGTGTGACTGTTTAGTAAAGGCTGATTTTTGCTCGAGATAATAATAATAATCCTTGCATTTGATATAGCGCTTTTCACGTCTTCTAGACGTCCCAAAACGCTTCACAGAATATACTGTAAAGTGAATTGACTGTATATTTGTGGGCGAACGCAGCAGCCAATTGCGTACAGCAATGTCCCACAAACAGATGTGTATTGAAAATGACCAATTTATTATTGTTTGTTTTTTTGGAGAGATTATTATTAGGCGTGTGGAGTAAGGAAACTTGCCCAAGAGATATTATTCATACTCCAGTTCTCTTAACGGCCTTTTGACAGTTTTGCATAGTTTGGGGCATGTGAGGGAAAACTAACTAGAGAGGAACCCAGTTAGATGAATCTGTGTTTACAGCAGTACCTTTCTTTGACTGCAGATTCTGTAGATTTCTAACTGCACATAAACCAATCAAACCGCTGCATAGTATTTCAGGATAAATTACCTATTTCACTGCCTTCATAAGAAATTCAATGTGAAACGTGGGTGGGAGTGGGGGAGAAACCTTTTCAAAACCCATCCTTTAATATATTTCTTGAAACAATGGAGAAAACGTAAGTTGGAAGAATGGATTTTGCCCAAGACAAAATTATGTTTCCATGTGATGTACTGTAATTTTTTCACTAAAGGATATCACAGAATTGAGCCATCTATAGCATCACTTTACACACCTGAAATCCAATTTTATGCAACAAACACTCCACATAACAAATAGAAGTCAGCTAGCTCAGTTGGTTTTCCCCCATTTCAGTTAGAACGTTGTGGGTTCTCGCCATTGTCAGGACTTTGAATTTTTTGTCTCCACATTTTCACAAACAAATATGCCATTTGCATGTTCAGTTAGATATAAAAGATCCCATGTCACTATTCGAAAAGAGAAGTCTTTCTCCAGTGACTTGGCAAACAAACCTCCAGGTAAAATTACATTCACAAATGGCTTGCATTTTGACCTACAAATACACTGTCATTATACTTTACAGAAGAAATTCGTGAAGGATTTTGAGATTTTGATGTGATCAGGTGTTGTATGAAATTATTTTATTTTCATAGATGGGACTACACTTAAACTGTGGTCTGGTGCCATTCCCAAAACATTATATAACTGTGAAATTCCTTTGTCTTTCAATTCATGTTCAGTTTCAAACCACTGTTTGTTTAAATTTTATTTTCAGGCCCTGGTCCAGTGTGAGCATCTGAAGAATGAGATGTCACGTCAGAAAGAAAGGTTGGAACAAGAACTAAGCTTTCAGCAAGAAAAAATTGCAAATGCAAAGAAAACTGTGCAGGAAGAAATGGGGAAAGAAAAAGAATATTTAGCAGCAAGGGTGAGTTAAGAGTATTTAAACTACTGTCATTGATTTAAAGTGTCAAAGAGCACCCGGCGCTCATGAAACCGCACTGCAGAATTGATCAGCATCTTCAGGAGAGAAAAAGAAAATGCTACCCCTGGCTAAATCCTACATTAAGTGGAGTCCAGTAGTTCAGTGGTTAGATGTGAAATCAAGAGACCTGGGTTTGATTCCCAACAGGGTGAAATGTTGGGCAAGTTTCCTTACTCCACATGCCTCTGTTTACCTAGTTGTAAGTAGGAAACCAGTTGTTAGTCAATTGATGGATCGCTTTTCCGGGGTAATAAAAAANTTAATAATAAATTGGTCACTTCAAACCACGACTGTTTGTGGGACACTGCCATGCCAATTGGCTTCCGCATTTCGTCCACAAAATATATAGTCAATTCACTTCACAGTATATTCTGTGAAGCGCTTTGAGACTTCTCAAAGACGTGATAAGGTGCTATATCAAATGCAAGGAATATTATTATCAAACCAAGGTTAAAAGAGCAAAAAGATTAGATGTGTTTTAGTCGTAAAAGCCAGAGGTACCATTGAGATTCCTTATACTAAAAGTCTGTTGTTTCAGATGAAGTATCTAACTTATCCATCAAATTGGTTCAGATAATTTTGTTTTGATCAGTTGAATGACAAGCACAGAATCCATTTGCTGTGCATGAGTCTCCAGCTCCACCTACTGAGAACTTATAGTTTGGCAGTTCTGAATTGTAAATCTCTCGGGCATGGCGAAGAAAGAGGTACACACCATGCTTACATTTACCTGGAGAATACATCACATGAGCATGATTTGGTAGCAGCCAAGAATTAAAGAACCTTGGGACAGTGGGATATGATGTTTTATGTACTTCGAGTATAGGATTACAATTTGAGCAAGGAACTCAAAAGTATAGATTCAAAATACAGTGGGCAATGTGTCAATTGCTGATTGATATAATGAAGATCTACAACTAATTTCTGATTATACATACAGTAAATTTCCGTGACGAGTTATCTGGAATGGCGAGTTAGGCATATGTATAAATGCATAAATAAATGCGGCCGGGATATTAACAGCGATGATAGCTTAAGTGTTTGTGACAAGTTAAGCAAGGGTTGAGTTATCAGGAGTTTCCTGTAATAAGAATGGTGAATTTGATAAATAACAGTCCACATCCTCTACTATTCATTGTAAACCTATAGCTGAGGTTATACATTATTTAAAATCAGTTTGTGGATTTCCTCTTTGACGTGTTTGAAGGTAATCCAGTGATAAAAAATACTGCAACAGTTAATATACGTTTTATTTGCAGACTTACACAAAACCTCCAAATTATTGTTTTCCAATCCTCCCTCACATGTTTCTATCTACAAAACTATTGTCTCCCTCACTCATATACACTCAGCTGCTTTGACTGTGAATAGGAATAGAACTTTCTGTATCTAATTATTTAAGATTCAATCTTCTTTTAATATAATGCTGTTACTGATATTGATTAGTAATGAAATCCCAAACCTCACAAAATACCCTGTTCGGAGAATGCAGATCAATGGAAACACGTTTTTTGAAAAGTAAGGGGTTATTTGTCACTGGAGATTTAAGAGCATGAGACTGAACATGTGCAGTTTACATGTTGCAAGTCTTGTGTTGAATTATGTGGGAAAGTTTTCAAATGGTTTATTTCAAAGGCTCATTTTGATGTAATATTTTATTACATTGAATTTATTTAGTTAGCATTACTGGAGCTTCAGAAAGTGCTGGACTAACTGTTCTCTGCAGCCATCTGCTGTACACGACCAGTACTTCATCTGAGAGAAGAATTCTTTTATGAAAATTCTCAGACATCGTTGGCTTTTATTGCCTGACCAGAGCATAGTTGCATTCTACTAATGTGAGTAATACCTAAGCCAGCAAGCTTTCTAAGACACCAGTATTTTGATCAGATATTTCACCTGACTTTAGCGCAGAATTGCACACTCCAGATTTCTGCTGCTATCTTCAGAGATCATTCAGATACCAAATAAAACTTTTTTTGGGGGGGTTAGGATGTGTCAAGCACATGAACAGATGGACACTATTGCTGTATATATTCATTGTTTTATTTGGAAATTAATTAAATTAATTCTATTTGGCTTTCAGCCGCATAATAAACACATATTCTCCATGTCAGCACTGTGCTTGAACAAATTATATTTGCATCAATTGCAATACATAGAATTCCCGCACCTCTTGCAGTGGAAACCATGCTGAAAATGGGGCATACCACTAATAATGCTTAGAGAATAGTGGGTTCTTTAACTGAACTGATGGGAGTTATATAATTTATAGTTTCATTTCATATACAACCTAACATGTTGAAATGCCCTCAAGTGCTTTGCAGGTAATTGCTATCAAATGTAGTGCCTGTATAGTTGTAGTCAAACATGATAGTAATTTGTGCACAACAACAACAGACCTATAAATAGTCACAACATTAATGACCAATTAATCTGGAAGATAGTTGGCTAGGATATTGGGATAAACTCTGTTTGCAACCTGAATCCATGCCCTCTGGTTAGGATGTCTCTGAATCTGAAAGTATTGTTCTGAGTTTATCTTCTTAATCCCATTTAAAATATTATATATCTAAAAGCTTGTCTAATTGTTGCTTATGATTTATTCCTCTAACATTGGCGATCATCCTTATTGTTCTTCTCTGCATTGCCTATAGAGGCTAGGCAGCTATCTTATGTCACAGCAATCAAAACTTATGCAGTACTCTACAACTCACATGTACACAGCATATTTCACGTAGGATAGCATTTGGGAGATCTTAAACTCCAGGATGTTGCCCACCTAGTGCTTTATTACCCTGACATCAGAGATTTGGCAAAATAGCCACTTTCTCAAACAAAGGTCTATGAGGTTGCTCAGAAAAGATCTATACATTCTGAATCCATGTTATCTGTCATTTCTTAGATTATTTGCCCGACTTCACTGGCTCCTCATCCCTCAGAGAATTGAGTACAAAACCCTTGTTCTCACCTTCAAAGCCTCCACCTTCTTGCTCCCCACTACCTCTCCGACATCCTAACCCCATATCAGCCTGCCCACTCCCTCCTCTCGGCCTGCTTCAGGTCCCCCACGCTTCCCGCCCCATCATTGGTGGTCAGGCATTCAGCATCTCTGCCCTCACAGAGGCGGAGGGACTGCGGGATGGAGTCCCAGAGGATGGGGGCAGAGCGACTGAAGGCCCACCCGCCAATGGTGGGGCGGGTGAGGCGGCGGACATGAAGCAGATTGGAGCCCGCTGAGTGGATGGAACAGGCAGGTTGGAAGGGGTTAGGAGGTCCTCTGTGTGATGGGAAGCCAGTGGGTTCAGCGAGGATAGGGTCGTGGAGTCTGGTGCGGGAAAGGACACGGGCTGCAGAGTTCTGGATGATCTGCAGCCAATTAAGTCCTGGATGAGAGCCAGCTTTCTCCAGCTGAACGTCGACAAGACGGAGACCCTCCTGCTTGGCTCCCATCAGCACCTCCTCGCCTCAGGCGATGACAGCATCACAATTCACGAATGCACATGACACCCCCACCCTCGCCGGGCTTCACTGGTTCCCCATCCCTCAGAGGATCAAGTTTAAAATCTTCGTCCTCACTTTTAAAGCCCTCCACAATCTTGCTCCTCCCTACCTCTTCAACCACTTAAACACCATACCAACCTGTTTGGCAGGCACTGGCCAGCTCCATGTCTCCTGCCCCACCGTTGGCAGACGGACCTTCAGCTTTTCTGCCCCTATAATAATATTAATAATACTCTGGAACTCCATCGCTAAATCCCTCTAACTCATCCCCTCCCTTGCCTCCTTCAAGAGCTTCCTTTTGACTGTTCCTTCAGCTACACTCCCAACTCCTCCTACCCTAGAACCCTCTTGATTCCAACCCCAGCTCGGGTGCAAACCCTTAAGCGCCTTGGGATGTCACTTCGATCGGAAAGGCGCAATATAAATGTAATTTGTTGCTGTTGCATTTATACCATATTTTTATATTCCATTTACTTTCTGATGATTGACTCCCATCATTTTTCCAATTATTGAGGCTAATGGGTCTGTAGTTGGTCTCTTCACATCCCTCCGACTCATAAGGCAGATGGATTCTAAATTAATGACTAAATTCCAAAGGGGATAATGATCTGGAAGTAAATCTAGTTGAATTTAGTATAGAATGTTATGCAGGCCGGCAACCACCCTACCGATCACATGTTTTTAGATATGACCGCTACTATAACTCCCAAATTATTTATGGTTTCTGCATTAATAAATAAACCTTACAATGGATTCTTCATTATTACACTTACTCTGATAGATCAACACATTATTTACAGCTTTCTTTATGTTCGTGGACAAACTTTACAATACATCTTCATAATATTCTGACCTTTGAGCTGGGACTATTTTCATTGCAACAGTGAAGGGTCAAATCATGATCCGTATTTAACAGGATACTAGATAAATATCAAAAGAGGAATTTGGATTTGGGGACAAGGTATGTAAATGAGAGTGAATGGATTGCTCTTTCAAAGAGCACAATGGATCGAATGGCTGTTGGTGATGAATAATTCTATGGTTTAATCATTCTTTGATAGAACATGTTGTTTCTGACTCACTTGGAGAACTCATCTGAAACACCTGATCAATTAACACATCCCTCATTGCAACAGCATTTGACAACAAAGGCAAGAGTTTAATTAAGCACTTCACATTGCATCCTAAACCATGACAGTGAAGCTTTGAGCATTTCATAACTGTCGCCTTGACTGTGAGATTTGCATTCCAGATCTGAAATCACTCCAGGCAAGCAGAGAGAGTCTGGTTATCATTGTGAATCCTGCTGTTTTGGAATGTTCTCAATAGCAATCCAGTGTATATGAAGCCTTCCTCTATGTTGTAGTCCTTGTTTACCAACAAATATTTAGTCACTATACAGTAAAATCCTGTAAAGCATTTTGAAACGTTTTGTCGACATGATAATGCAAGGATTAATTATTTTTATTTCCTCAGATTGCATGGGTAACATGGATCATGATTTTGTCAAATCTACTTTTTGTTTAATATCAGCTACAGTTGAATACAGTAAATATTTATAGAGCAAAACACATGGTGAATGTATAAAATTGCATTTTACCAGGCTCAGTGTGTTAGTCGTTGAATATATTTTATCATTTTACACTTCAGTTACTTGCCTCCTCCATTCTTTTGTTCAGTTGTGACAGCTTTATAGCCATGATTACCATCCTTCTCCATGGCTAAAATGAATAATATTTAAAAGGCTACCTATCAAATCATGTTATGTAATGATCATTTTTGTAAGCTTTTTTTTATTTCCTTCTCCATCTGTCAAAATTAAATGCCTCAATCATTAGGCTCCACCTGGAAACCTGTTGAGAGTCTAGAAATTGCCAAATTACTGAAATGAGTTGGTTGTCTATAGTTCTTGAAATAATTTAAGATTTTGCCAAATTCTGGACAAACTAGAATGCTTAAGGGTTGTTAGAATTCTTTATTATGCATAAAATAAAACCCTGGATATTTTTCTGTGACTTTCAGCGCTAAAAATCAAGAGGGGAGATTTGTCACACAAATAAACTGCCTCTCTCTCTCTCCACTCCAAGTCTCTCTTTGTTTGTGTGTGTGTGTGTGTGTTCATCTCTTTCTGAATATCTGACTCTTTCTATGATTTTAGCTTTAGCTCTACATTAATACAAAAATAAATGTTAGATACTTAGCTTCTCACACCTTCGAAAGATCCAGTTGGAAGTATTTACATAGGTTCATTGGAGGTAGCTATAGACACATTGTAATCACATACAACTGAATTCACAAATCGATGCATGTGCATTCACAGTAACTCTTGTTTAAATTCAGTTTTACAATTTGGATTAGAAAGAAATTTGTTTTTTACTGATTCACTTTAATCAAAAAAGTGGGCTTTTTTGGTGAAAATTAGTTTAAAAATTACTTTGATTGTGCTTCAAAATACTACATGAATAGAGTAAATCCACATTAATTTTCTCCTCATCAGAGACTCAAAATTTACATACTTTTTGCAGTAAACATTGTGACATCTAATCTTCTTGTATTGTAATTGCTTGATGTTCTACATTGGAATTCAATTGAGCAATGTTTGTTTACAGGTGACCTGTTTGTCAGAGAGAGTAGCCTGTCTGGAAGATCAGGTACAGAGACTCATGAAAGAGAAGAATTCAATAGCTAACCAGCTGGAAGAAGCTCAGAAACAACTAACATTTAATGACCTGAATATTAATAAGGTACAACATTTTTCAATTCCCCAAACTAGAGGTATTTCAAATTATAAATTGAGAAAGTAAACCCAGAACAATACTTCAGAAGAGTTGCAAAGAGTGAATTCAAGACAGACACCAGAAAGTACTTCTTTACCCAAAGGGTAATTAATGACTGGAACCTGTTATGGAGAAGGGTAATTCAAGTCGGGACTAGACTCAATTAAACAAGTTTGTTGCTGTGATGGGAGCGCGGTTGTGGAATTGTGGAAGAATCAGATGAAATGAGCTAAAAATGCCTTGTTTATCTGAACCAATCGTATTAACCATGTAATGTTAGGATGTAATTGGGGGTAAATGTATGTTGTAACAGCAACATGATAGTAAGTTGTGCAATAAATTGTAACAGGTGCAAGTTTTCATGCTATAGTATTCTATGAGGTCTGTTATAAATAGTCAGATCCTGAACCACAAAGCACTCCAGGTTAGTCCTGCACCATGGAGCTTAGCCCTTCATGTCGGCTTCTCAATGATAATAAAGAAAAATGAGTGCCGTGATGGTTGGAAATTAAAGGTAAATTGTGAGCCAAATTCTTTATATATTGCAAATACTGAATACTGTATTGACTTTCCATTTTGAAATATAAGTAATATTAATATGAATCCCTCTGAATAGAACCTTTTTTATTTTCCGTAAGTTAACAAGATGGGTGCTGGCGTTGTGTTCTAAGAAAACAATCATTGTATGCATGAATGCAGAAATCCAACTGTAATTTGCTGTGTAGAATTTGATATTTCAGTAAATATCAACCATGACATTTTGTTACTAGTGGTTTACAATTTTGTGTCTGAATTTGACTTAGAATCTGTTTTTCACCAGTAATGAAGATCTACAGGTTTTTTATTAATTCCATAATAATACTTGACATATAAATGAAAATCTGTTCCAGAAATGTTTCATGTCTTTTTATTATGATAAATAACCTAGTTGCTTTAATTGAATTATTTATGTGAGAGACCACTAGAGGGCAGGTTTGCCAGGATTACAGAACCAAAGCAAATGTGTTTGCACCACTTCAATGACAGGTTCGGAATCACGTTTTGAAATACAGTTAAATAAAATTTAGTAAATCTGCAAAACGTACTGCTGTAAGATCCTAACTAGAAATTTGATTTATCTATTTTAAATATGTTAGGAAAATTTAAGCTTTGCATGTGTATTTGTGTGCTGTGAAAAAAAAGTGAATGAAGAATCAATGCATTTTTCTACTTTTGTTTGGAAGAGGGCAATAGTTTCATTGTGTAAAGTGGGAATAGGCAGAAGAATTTGGTGTTGTTTTTATCTGTTAAGAATGGGATCAAATATGCAGTAATTCCATGGGATTCCTTAATAAGGAAATAAACTGCATTACACCAACCCGCAGAAATTCCACTCTTAACACTTTCTATATTTAGAATGGAGTTCCACGAGTCAGTGTGATGTACTTCTGGTTACCAGAAGGAGTACCCCCTCGGTTTTCTTGTTAGGGAATCCTATTAGAAATCATTGCATATTTCTTGCAGCACATGATCAGAGTCAATCCATTCAATATCATGGTAGATGTGCTTAATGAGGAATATGTTTTATGATTATTTCCTTCATCGCTTCAGCTTTATAATGTATAATATTGTCTTGAAGTCTGTTCTGTAACATTCCAAGGATTTAGATTATAAATATTTGAGCTTTGCTGTTGTGGTTTATGACCTCAATGGGACCTCCTGAATTGCATTGTGGTCTAATTCACTGTAGTATAATTCGCTGCAAGGAAATTGCTCTGCTTCAAATGTGCTGAATTTATATTAGTCAATAATTGATCAGTTTTTGGGGTCCATCACCAACACTTTCTAGAGGCAAAAGGCATATTTATTTCACTCATCTTCATTCTATCAGGAAAGGCTTAAATTTGTGAATTAAGATATTGGAAGAACTATGCATATCAATTTTGAAACAAGTGAAACTCAGCCTTCCTACTTGCACTGTTGCTGAAATTCTGTTAGCCGCCTGGAATATTGCAGCTGAATTCACCACGCTTACAAGACAATGAAAACTTGAACTATAAATATATCCAAAACATTTTTTATGTGAACTAGTTATTTATGTGACTTGAGTGGCTTGGACTTGCTGCAGAGTTATTTTGCCCATTTTTGGCTCAGTTGTTAGCTCTCTTGCCTCCGGGTCAGAAGGTTATGGGTTCAAGCCTTTAAAACAGTCATTACACAGTTTACCCACAAAAACAGCCATTATACTTGACAGTAATTACATGAGAAGTGTTTTGAGATGTTTAAAAATGCAAGTTCTTTCTCCTTTTCTCTCCTATTAATTTTGTGGGTGTCTCTAGATCTATTGAATGCATCTGATGTATTGCCTTGTTATTAACCTCCTGTAAATTCAGATATTAGTCTGAACTACTGAATAGTGTATGATCAACTTATCAAACTTTTTTTTACTGACAGGAATAATACTTTATGACTAAAAAACCTATAAAACAACTGAAACACATCTCATAAATTTGAATTCACCTTGTAATTCACCCAATAATGCTTATTGCAATTCACATTACAACAACAACAAGATTACATTTGTATAGTGCCCTTTCACGTCGAGAGGACGTCCCAAGGCGCTGGACAGAGTACAGCATTTCAGACCCGAGCTGGGGTCGGGGGGAGGGAGGAGAAGGGGAGTGGCCAATGGGATGGTCTAAGAGGAGGGTCTTGAGGCGGGACTTGAAGGAGGCTAAGGAGGGGGCGAGGAGGAGTGACTGGGGGATGGAATTCTAGAGGTTTGGGGCACAGTGGCTGAAGGCTCTCCCGCCAATGGTGGGGCTTGTGGGTCGGGGCACGTGGAGCTGGCCAGAGCCGGCTAAGCGGAGGGAACGGGCGGGTTGGTAGAGGGTTAGGAGGTCGCAGAGGTAGGGTGGGGCGAGGCCATTGAGGTCTTTGTATGTGAGGACCAGGATCTTAGCTGGATCCTCTGAAGGATAGGGAGCCAATGGAGTCGGGCGAGAATGGGGGAGATAGGGTCAAGGAGTTTGGTGTGGGAGAGGATACGGGCTGCAGAGTTCTGGATTATCTGCAGCCTGTGGAGGGAGGAGTTGGGAAGGCCGACAAGCAGTGCGTTTGCATAGTCGAGCCTAGAGCTGATGAAGGCATGAACAAGAGTTTCAGCGGCCTGAGGGGTGAGGTAGCGGCAGAGTCGGGCGATGTTACGGAGGTGAGGGAAGGCAGAGCGGGTCATGGCTTGGATGTGGGGAAGAAAAGACAGTTGAGGGTTGAACAAGACACCCAGGTTCCTGACTGGCTGGTGAGTTGAAGTGTGCAACCATGAAGGTTGATGCTGCCACAACATGAGGTGCTGAGGCGCTGGCACGAGCCAATCAGGAGGGCCTCAGTCTTGTTCACATTCGACTGTAGGAAATTTGCCCTCATCCACGACTTGATGTCCGACAGGCAGTCTGTCAGGACAGCAGTGGACCTGGAGTTGAAGGTGGAGGCAGAAACATTATTACTGTGATGGTTTTGACACATAATATCCAGTGCCTAAGTTCTCTTTTTATCTATTGGAATCAGTTTCCTTTCCCCTCACAATAACATCCTTCAGTTATGCCTCCTACTTAATTAAATCTTTGTATTGAGTGAAGATTAACCTTCTCCTTCCTCCCGCGGTATCTGCACACCCTCTTCCCTCCAGAGGACAGTAATTTAATTTATGGTAAACAATAGTCACTTCCACTTTGCCAACATCCATTGCTATCCTAGCTTTCGGTCAATGTATCAATCATGCAACTGAGTGGGTGACCCTTAAATTAAGTTGAATTACTACTTGACAGTGAATTGTATGTTTCCTGAAGTAATATTTCTGGGGTGTACAATAGACTTGCATTTTCACCAACCTTTTCTTTGGTCTGTCACTTTCTGTCTTTCAGGCTGTCTCCAAATTCTTTTCTAAAACAATATTCAATACAATGAATGAGGTAGTTAATTTCCCAGCTCCAATTTGACTTGTCTTGATTTGATTGCAGGCTTTTTTTGTGCATTTTGATGAACCTGTCACTATTTCAGACTTTCTCATTTCTCTCACTTTTTATTTTTACTGTCAAGCCATTTTTCAATCACGCTTCAGCTTTTCACCAATTCCTTTATTTTTCATCTTTCTTATAAATTTTCTTTTTGTCTCTCCTTATTTTACCTTTTTGTACATACCTCAAGGTTTGCCAGTGCCTCTTAATACCACTGTAAATTTCAGATGCAAACATCTATTTACAATCATCAACATTACTTCAGTCACAGTTTATCCGGACAATTTTTTTCCCAACCATTCAATCATCAATACATTTTTAATAAAAACTCCCACAACTGTACACATGTTTGTAGAATTGTGTTTAATGTCCTTGATGCATCTTTGCCTCAAACCCTCTGTCTTGCCTCCTCCTTACCCATCTTCAGATTGCACCTGAAGACCTTCCTCTTCAAATGCATCTACGGTCCCTCTCCTCTCTCCTGCTCAATCTCAATCTCCACCACTTTTAAGCTCTCTGAAACACAACTCCACACAAAGGGCTCTGTATAAATACTACTGAATAAAAGTTGTTATTATTGTTGTTAGTAAATGTTTTTAACCTCTTGCAATTACAATATGTAGAAGCTTTGATATTTTCCTGATCAGCCAGTAAAATAAATCGTGATACCAGCCCCCAATATAAAATGCTGAACTGAATCAGAAGGTTGTTTTAAATTGTTATATTTCTTGTATATTATAGAGCAAAGCACATTCTGGAGGGTTGGTTTGATGTTGCTTTGATGAAGAAGGCACTCCTGCCCATTTGATCTCATCCCTCCAGAATACCCACCCTACAGTCCTCTAATCACGCATGAAGCATTTTTTTTCAAATGAGCTCATAATCTTGCCCTTCCTTTTCCAACCATTAATTATCCTCTGGGTAATGAAAAACTTTCTGGTATTTTGGGGGTGGTAGGTGGGTGTGTGACACATGCGGAAACCCATCACCATACTTAAGAGTATCCAAACCAAACAGAGATTTTTATGCATCCCACCTACACACGGAAATTCCAGGGATAAATTGTTGGAATGGAATGTGCACTTTCTCCGTGGAGGGATGCATCCTGCTTACTAGGCACAGGTTGGCAAGACCCAGAGTGTGAGTTGGGGTACTGCTGAAGTCTATTCAGCTAAAACCGCATAGTTTGCCAGTGATATACTTCCTGGTATTTGTCCTGAAATTGCCCTTCACAACCCTAAACCTATTTGCTCTTGTTCAGATGTCTTGGTACATCTGAAAGTATTGTCCTGGGATTAATTAATTCTATTTAAAATCTTATATACCTCTATAAGTAGGCTCCTTTGAAACATTGCTTTTCAAGCCCTAACTTGTTTAATCACTGCTTATAGCTGCCTTTAACAATAAAACACATCCTTGTTGCTCTCCTTTGCACCGTCTCTAAGGCCTAGGCATCTCCCTTATGTCTTGGTGACCACAACTGTACACAGTCTTTCAGGTATGGCCTGATCAGAACACTATATAGTAGGTTGTCTGGGGATCTAAACTCAACTGATTTGGCAATATTGCCCAGCCTCCTGTTTGACTTGTTTTTTTGTTGCCTCACACTGTTTTGACATGGTGAACGACAAGTAAACTAACTCCCCTAGGTCTCTTGCAGTTTCCCCTTGGCAAGTTCAGCTTCCCCCATGGCCAGTTAAACTAGGTTATCTGGACAATGATGAGACAGTGAAATTATGTTTTGAATAAAACTTGTTATCAATTTCTGGCAATGGACCGTAATTGCTGAAAAAGTAAGTAATAATTTGAAAGGTTGGGGGGCAAAGTGTAATACTGTAGTAAAAGTGAAAAGGTGACACAGAATAGAGAAGAAGAAGAAGAAGAAGAAGAAATAGAACAGGACAAATGTCAGTGACTTTTTAAAAAAATATTTTACTGGGTTAGAAAGCTATCCTGATGTTTGACTATTTTTAATATTGGTATTTTTCAGCATAACAATGCATGAAAAGAAAAAAAGCTTTATTGTGCTAAAATTAGCCATGAATTTTTAAAAAGATATAATGTAGTTAAATGTGATTATGTGATCCTGGCACAAAAAGGTGCTTCTAGCCTCGCGGAATTTTACAGCACAATGCAGCCTTCAACGATCATAGAATCGGAAAAGCTGAGCCGTGCCCTTTCAGAAACATTTTGAATGGATCATTGCCTATGATCCTGCATACTCTGGGTGAACAGACCTATCCAGAATACTAGATCAAATGGTCTGAAGGACTGTCTTTATCCAAACCTCTTTTGTAATTGCGGTCTTGTGTGGACAAATGGTAATTTCTACACTGGTAAACTTGAATTACTTCAACTAAGTTGCTATTAGGTGGTTCCACATATCAATGATGTGTTGAGCAATAGCTCCAAATATTCAGCAGTTGTGGCTCCGTAATAACTGAATGCTGGTAGGAGCACATTCCTGCTGAATAATTTTCAATATCGTGCTTGGAATGCTTTTGCAAGAAATTCTGCTAATTTACCTCCGGGTGGCACTATCGGGCCATTTTACATGCACACGGTTGTAATGAATAAATTGTTGCAATTCACATATAAACAAATGTTGTCTCTGACTTTTACTTAACCTTTAGGAATGTGGAGAATTGCGCTATCAGCTGAACCAGGTCAAAATGAAGAAAGATGAGACTGAGAAGGAGTTCAGAGAATACAGATCAAAAACATTACGAGAAATTGAACTCCAAGAACAGGTAAGAGAGTTTTGTCTGTTAGTTCTGATCGATTGTTCAAATTTACAAGCACTGAGTTCAGAAAGGGCTACTTATTTTTTATAAATGAACCAATGAGTCTGAGCCATTCTAGTTACAGGTTCAAATTGTGGGCAAGCCTTTCAAGAAATGGTCACATTAATGTGATCTGCAAGGGCTTCACAGTGTTTTACTAAAGGTCAGAGTTAACAGTGAAAATATATGAAGCAATCTGGCTGTATTGCAGCAAGAGTATAGTAGTATTTGTTAGAATGTGTGCAAATATGCATGTCATTTGCAGATTTGCATCTTAATATTACAAAATGTTTGGAAACTATCTTAGTGATAATTGTAGTTCACTTTAGTGTTAAGATTAATCTTTCTTTCCGGATGAATAGGCCTGAAATTCAAGCTAATACAAATTAATTTGGTTTGACGAGGCTGAGCAAATGCCCATCTGATATAATCGTGGATACATTGCTATTTATTTTTAAATAGTTATTTTTCATTTTTCAATCTGGGGTGTCAGCTTGGCTCGTTGGCTTTCAGTCTCGTGCTTCTGGGTTAGAAATTTGTGGGCTAAAGCTCCATGTTGGGATTTTCAGTTCATAGTCTAAGCTGATATTCCAATGCAGTACTGGAAGATTGCCGCCTTGTTGGAGGTGTCGTCCTTTGGATGAGGTGTTAAATTGAAACCCTGTTTGCATGTTGATGTGAACATTAAAGATTATATGACATTATTTCAAAAGAAAGGGGAGTTTCTCCCAGTGTCCAGGAAAAGTATATTTCAGGCTAGCTGCAAAATACAGGTTTGTATTTATGTTAGAGTTTAAATTGATGTTTGAAATGTCCCATTGTCTACAATCATCCGCACTTTAAATTTGCCTGCTTTGTGCATGGTGAGTAAAGACATTTGATAGAAATGATCTTAAGTTTGGTAAACAAATAGTATTTTTGGAGGTAAAGCTAACTTTAAGGTTGTACTACCAATAGTAACCGGCCATTCAGCATAATTGATTGGACCAAAAATTTGCAGTCAAACTCAACATATTGTTTTCCTAAAGAAACATATAATAACCACAGATGTTTAGCTGATGCAGTGAAGGCTGGACTAGAAAGCAAAGTTTGGGTACAGTAGCCAATGTGTGCCCATCTGCAGTCAACTCTGGGAACAGTAGTGAGAAAGACAGCAGCTGAAGTATATGCTGTTAGACAAGAAGGGAAAAGCAACATTGTGATGTCCCATATAAGAGGGCTTCACATTGGTTACTATTCCCCTGTTTTCCACACCAGACACTGGTAACAGAAATCGTAGTTTTCTCTGCTGCTTATTTGTCTGGTTCGAGAATAGCTTGTGGTATGAGGGAGTGTAGCTGAGAAAGACGAAACAAAGAAAGTAAAATAAAAGTATGGATGGAAAGAACAAAAATGAAAGGAAAATAGGACACTAAAAAGAGTGAAATAGTTCAACCCAAAAACTTGCATTTTATTAAATGGTATATATATATATATATGAATCTGGGATATACATAAAAAACTATGTTAAATCATTCTAAAATGATGTGATAAATATCTTAACTATACCTCTAGTGAATTAAGTCTGATCACTTTGTGTAAAGATCCCCTTTCTGTACAATTTATTTACCTATTTATTTACCTATTTATTTCAGCAGTAAAGTAACAATGTCAGTTTTTACAATTTATGTCACAATAACTAGCGCAGTAACACTAAAAAGTTATTCCTTAATTATTAGAAAAAGTTTTGGGACAAACAGATAGCTCTTTCAAAGGTACAGCTCTTTCAGAGGTATTGAGCACAAGCACAATGAGGTAAATGGCCACCCTCTGTGCTGTAAGTTCCTAAATAATTATATTAAAGCTAAAAATTTAATTTGAATTTAAATTCTTGTATAGGTGACTTCAGTTATTTTTTTCTCCCTCATGTTCTCTTTTCCTTGCTTCTTTTATTGCCTTTTCAACAGCAGCCTGTCATGATGCTGTTGCTTTGCCTTTCTTTTGAATCTACTTCTGCTTTTCAATTTGAGAATAATGAAAACTATCAGCATATCATCAGAGTGTCCTCCTTTGCCATTGCTAATTCCACTACAGCTCCTACTTCACTTCCATTATTGTTGCCTTGGTATTACCACAAAAACCACAACCCAGCTGCTGGAACAATTCACACTGGCATCATGCAATTCTTCACTAGGAACATAAGTCTTTTGCCAGATTTCAAAACCAGAAAGCAACATCTGTTGTCTGGAATTGTTTCACCATATATCTTGGTGACGAATTAAAAACACTGCGTTCCCACTATAAGAGAAGTATTATTGAGGCAGACAGAAGGCTCATTTGGGAACAATCCCATTAATCAAGACACCTGCAACAGTTTGTTTGTGTGGCTCACTGTCAAATTGCGATGACAAAGTTATTTTGTGCAATGAAAGCGAGAAACTACGATTTCTGTTACCAGTAGCAGTTAGAGCAGGGAGTTGAGACCGGCAAGAAAGTTCTATTAGATCATTGGTTCCATTTTATTAATTTGACAGATGAGAGAAATATTGCATGGAGGTGGTTAGATTCACTGATAGTTTCATGCGCATACAGGAATTACATGAACAAAATCTTGTATATAAAATGTTTTGAAGAACAGCAATGTGTATTACCAGAATTTGTATCCAAGATCATTGTCATCATCATTGCTCGAGTACAGTTATCGATTGGCACGTAACTGGCAATTTCATTCCACTCATCGCAAACAATTTGACATGAGACCTTTCTTGCTGTAGGAGGTTAGCTTTGTGCTGTACTCAACATTATTGCCGAGCAGTACTACTACTGATCGTGTTTTGTTTTGCAGTCAATCTGCAAACTGTTCTTTATCTCGGCTATTGCTAGCTGAACCATGAAAATATCAGAAAATAGTTTAACCTAGAAATGTGTTTAATGTAGATTGTTGACATTATCAACATTTAATGTAGGTAAACATTCTAATAGAAAACTGGCAGATAATGATGTCAATTTAGCCCTTCATTTGATATTTATCATACCGAGTATACATCAAATGTACCCTCAATATTGCATTAAATTTTACAGGCAATGATAATTTTCAAGCCTCCATTGTGTCTTTACTCACAGCTATGAGGCCACCTTTACCAATAAAATATAAATACATTTATTTTGCTGCATTTGAAATTGAGCGCAGCCCCTGCTACTACTACTACTTCCCCTACTGTCACTTCTTCTCCTTCTAGCTCTTCTACAGCAACCTGTCAGGATCCTGCTGCTGAGCAGCGTATGCATTTGGATGTGAGTTATCAGTGTACAGTGTTTTTCTATTAAAAAAGCAAGTAGGTGAATGCCACTATCCAAATGTCTAGTACCAATGTTCTAAGTTCACAGACATTGCCATGGTGAATGCCGCAGCCAGTGGCTTACAGCATCAAGGGATATTTTTGCCTTTTTTCATTCTTGTCTTTGTATCCTCCAAGCTTTCTGAACTTATTTTCATTATAATGTATTTTGCAACTTTGCAAATATTTGTCTTGATGTTTATTTCAAAAACTACTAGTCGTAACTGAGCACAAAGCTACAGGGTTTTTTTTTTTGCCTCTTTATGTTATTTGTCAGCTTGGCTAAGTTGTAATCAATCTTGTCTCTGAATCAGACGGTTGTGGGTTCAAATCCATATCAGGACTTGGAATACATATAGTCTACGCTGACACTCCAATGCAGTGCTGGGAATCTGCTGCATTGTCGGAAGCGACATCCTGCAGATGAGATGTTAAACCAAGGTCCTGTCTGCCTGTTCAAGTAGACTTTAAAGATCCTATGATACTATTCAAAAAGAGAAGTGAGTTTTTCCCACTGAGCTGGCCAAAAGACTCCCAAATAAAATTGGTCCTTCACTCCAGGGCTGTTATGTGGGACATTCCTGTGCGTATATTGTCTGCTGAGTTTGTCCACAAATTACAAAGTCTCACCACTTCAAAGAATATACTGTGAAATGTTTTGAGATGCCTTGAAAATATAAGGTACTATATCAAATACAAGGATTATTATTGTTTGTCATTACTTTATTATCAAATATTGCTGTACATATGTGGCAATAAAAGGAGAATGAAGCCGTTTATTTTCCATTTGTGTTCGCATTTTGTGAGGGAATAGCTTATTTGCTGTTTCTCAATATGTCATTAAAACGCTCAACATGGATATCAAATATGTTTGCTAAAATATCACTAAGACGTCATCTCTAACACTCTAAAAAGGATATCAGTTTCCACATTAAGCATTCTCAGGCAATGTATAGCAAGAACAAATTCAGTGTGAAACTTTGTGACCTAATGATTTGTCTAGCCCCCAAGCTCATAAAAGTATTCCCTGTTGCGCTGGTTTTGAACAGTTCTGAGTTTGATGGTGACCAAGAGACTGTCATTTTTGTAATGAATTGTGGGCAGTGTGTGCTATGGACCCATGCCCAGAGGGAATTTGTTTGAGAATGCCCCAACTCATTTCACTTTCAGCCAGCAGAGTGAGGAAGCTTTCATTCCATCTGTCTGGACTGAATTCAAACATAAGACCCAAAAATAGTTGAAGCAGTTTGCTAGCCCATTATGCCACATATTTAAACTGTTTATTTCTTGGGAATTATTTGTTAAATTTTCTGCTGTTAAATTTGGCTTAAAATTTAAGTTTCACTGTGAATAATAATAATCCTTATACATTTGATGTAGCGCCTTTCACTTTGAGAGGATGTCGCAAAGTGCTTCACAGAAATTACTGTAAAGTGTAATGACTGTAGCCAATTTGCACATAGTGATGTGTCACAAAGAACCATGCAGTGAATGAACAATTTTATTTGGTGGATTGTTGGCCAGGTCACTGGAGAAGCTTCCTTTTCTTTTTGAACAATGATATGGGATCCTAAAAGTCCGCCTGAACAGGCAGGTGGGACCACAGTTTATTGTCTCACCTGAAGGATGTTAAATCCAACAATGTAATTC